TGACTCCGCCCACGCTATAGTAGTTGTCAATATCTTTGCGCGTACTGCCACCTACACTTTTTCAACATCCCTTTTCAATCGATATAACCGTGAGAGTCTTTTCCACCTTGGCACAGAGACGAACGCCTTGCGCAATGGCTTCTTTGTAAACTGACACATGGCGCTGCCGCATTCGAAGTTTCAAGTGTCCTTTTCCTTTGTCCTTCTCGAATCCGTCTCTAGCTCTTGGTCTATTCCGCCACTTGTCTATATTTTCTTCTTCTCAAGTTGGTGATTGGGGGAATTTGTGTAAAAAACCCCAGGGATCTTCTCAAGCATCCGAGACATTTGTTATCGAGAGGAGCTTACAGCCTGCTCATTTTTCCTTGATACAGATTATACCTTATTGTGATTGTCAGAAGACGAGAACGCAATGAAGTTTGGACGCAATCTTCCACGGAACGTCGTTCCTGAGTGGAGTTCCTCCTACATCAAGTACAAGGCGTTGAAGAAGCTCATCAAGTCGGCGGCAGAAGATGTGAAGGCTGGCCATGAGGCAGATCTTGCCGGTGAGCCGTTTCTATGATTGCCACGTATCTAGACCGCGAAGCGGTCTTCCTGACCGGATACCCTAGGATTCTTTTACTCCCTCGATCGAAATCTCGAGGATGTCGACTACTTCTATAATAAGAAGTACTCGGATTTTGCTCGCCGCCTCAAGTTGCTAGAGGACCGGTATGGTCAATCTTTGGATGCTGGCCACCGTCTTGACTCGGAGGAGGTTGAGGACCTTTTGGCCGCCTTGCTTGAGCTGCGTGGCCAGCTGCGGAAATTACAGTGGTATGGCGAAGTCAATCGTCGTGGGTTCATCAAGATCACCAAGAAACTTGATAAGAAAGTAGGCGTCCATGCGCAGCGGACTTATCTAGAAACGAAGGTCGACCCATCTCCATTCGCCTCGAATGCGCGGGTCACTGAGTCATTGAAGCAAATCAATGACTGGCTTTCGGTACTTGGTGAGCAGAAGGTCTCAGATGATGCCAGTTCCACTCGCTCTTCCCTCTCACTGAAGAGGGGTCCAGCTCGCCCGCACTTAAACTTACCCTCGAGTTTGCTTGCTGCTGTCGACGAAGCGTTGCGCAAAGATGACACACACGTCCTCCTGGAATTACTGGAGGACCTTAGAACTTCTACGGACAACCTTGGAGGAAACATTTTCCCCAAAGTCCTCGAGAGCCTCTTGCAGCGGTCTATTTACTACCGCTCGAAATTCTGCATTTCCGTCCTGCTCGACCGAATGGATAGCCTTGACGATGAAGATGACATCAACAAGCGTAACTGCATTCACAGATTAGTGATTTCAATCGGTCGGGCTCAATCCACGACTGACTCAGAGGAGTCTGCCTCAATGGTCCTCGACTTCCCCCTTGAAACTTCCAATTATATTACGCCCGCTGCCCTGCCAACATTGCAGCCTCCTCGGAATGTAGTGAAGGAGTCGGATCACCCTCAGCATTTGGATAGATCAGATCCATCGGTATCGCTTCTACACCACCTGCTAGACGAGCTCCGGCCTAGGCAACGACCTGCTCTGCTTTCCAAGGATATCTCGGGTCGTACCCCACTGCACTATGCTGCTCAGTACGGGTTCAGAGTTGTTTGTGAAGTCATCATCGAGCACCTGCAGGCCTGGGATATATTTGATGTTTCGGGGGGTATCGATGGGCCGCACTGGCAGGATAATGATGGTTGGGCCCCTCTGCATCTGAGTGTGGTTGGTGGTCACCCATTAACTACACGCGCCCTTCTAGACGCCGAGAACTGGCAGGATGCCAGTCCGGATAAGTCGACCACCCGGAAACAGGTCTCCAAATCAAGCGCAGTACTTGCGATGGCCACAAAAGCAAACTTTGTTGATATCGTCAAGCTTCTGGTGGATGCAGGGGTTAATATTAACTATCAGGACGAGCAAGGCGAAACCGCGTTACATGTCGCAGCCCGGTTTGGACATCATATGTGCGCCAAGATTTTGTTACAGGGCAGCAGTGACCAGAAGGCGGATACAGAATTGGCTGAGCATACGTACTCTTGGACACCACTGTTCATTGCGAGTGTTGATGGATCGTTGAGCGTTGTAAACCTACTGATTGAAGCTGGTGCCGACCTTGAAAAAGCCGACTCCTCTGGGTGGACTGCGAAGGAACATGCGGCGTTGAGAGGTCACCTTGACATCGCTCGACGTCTTGCCGAACTTACACCTGAGCCTGATGTCGCGGAAGCTGAGCCTGTGATACCGATTCCTGTAGCTTCCTCGTCTCCTCCAGCCCCATCCTCTTTGATTGAGCGAAGATCTAATACCAGCACGCCCTCGGGGAGTTCTAGTACGCGGGATGTCGAACCTGTTAAATCTTTTGGACACAGGTATCTTACCGACGAGGCCATGATCTTGGTGAGCCTGGGTACCATGGATATGCACAGGCCCGTGGAAGCAGTTAACCTTGATCGTATCCCAATGGAGAACGCTCATTCTACCCAGCTTGATACTGCATTGTCCATCGTTGTTTCTGCTAACGGGGCTCATGGAGAACCCGAGATCATCGATCTGCCTGTGCAAGACAATATCTCGACGGAGCCAATCGTTTTCCATACTGCCGATGCGACGAAGGTTAGGCTTCTATTCGACCTCGTCCCGACCTATGCTGGTTCGAAAGACCAGGTGGTTGGGCGTGGTGTGGCGTTGCTCTCTAGCATTAAGCAAAGCGTGGGCTCCAATCGCATCAACCTGAAGGGTGACTCGACTGTCCCTATTGTGGCTGCAAACACCCTGGAAGTCATCGGCACGGTCACATTCAACTTCCTCATAGTCACGCCTTTCAAGCACCCGAACATGTCCATCACCGGTGACCGGACCTACTGGAAGAGTATGAGCTCGACCATGGTTATTGGACACCGTGGCTTGGGCAAGAATATGGCCAGCCGTAATTCGTTGCAGCTTGGTGAAAATACGGTGCAATCGTTCATTGCAGCCGCGAACCTTGGCGCATCATATGTTGAATTCGATGTACAGCTGACCAAGGATCATGTTCCAGTTATTTATCATGATTTCCTCGTCAGTGAAACGGGAATTGATGCGCCAGTTCATACTCTCACGTTGGAACAATTCCTTCAATTGGGTGACAGTGGATCGTCTCGTCGATCTGGCTCCCCATCCCAGGCGCTTGATGCTTTTGGAAAGGATGGAAACACTTCTACTCTTCGTCAACGCTCAATGTCTGTCGGCGGTTCTGAATACGACCCCGCGGAATTAAACGAGAAGATCAAGCACACTCGCGATTTCAAGAAGAAAGGCTTCAAAGGCAATACCCGAGGCAATCACATCCAAGCACCCTTCGCCACATTGGAAGAGCTTTTTAAGAAACTTCCTAAATCTGTTGGATTCAATATTGAACTGAGTGAGTTATCTAGCCCTCCCTAGAACAGCTACGAGACGATCTGACTGAGATCGCCAGAATACCCCATGCTCTATGAGAGTGAGGAAGAGGAGATGGATACCTACGCAGTGGAACTAAACTCCTTTGTGGACACGGTTCTTACCCAGGCGTACGAATTAGGTCAAGGTCGTAATATGATCTTCTCTAGTTTCAACCCTGACATTTGTTTGTTGCTTTCCTTCAAACAACCCTCTATCCCTGTGCTCTTCTTGACAGATTCTGGAGCCTCCCCTGTTGGTGATATCCGCGCGAGCAGTTTGCAGGAGGGAGTTCGGTTTGCGTCCAGGTGGAACCTGCTCGGTGTTGTCTCGCAGGCCGAGCCACTGGTGCTCTGTCCTCGACTGGTTCGAGTCGTGAAAGAGTCAGGTCTGGTTTGCGTCTCTTATGGAACTCTGAACAATGATCCTGCGAATGTCAAGGTCAGTGTGCCCCAGCATTAGCCTATATGTTAGGCTTGACTAATACTTTTACAGCGCCAAGTGTCCGAAGGTATTGACGCGGTCATTGTCGACTCTGTTCTCGCTATCCGAAAAGGTCTTACGGAGCATCAGAGCAATTCAATCACTCCTCAACGCAGCCCACTCGTCCAACCTACCCCAGTTGCTCTGAAAGATACTCTTCAAATACCTATTCTCAACCAAGCGGAGCAGAAAGACGATCACCTTCACTTAAAGCCGGACGCTGTCATTTGAGCGCCTGCCATTGCATAGGCAATTCAACATGCCATCAAGCCGAAGGCATGGTTTTTAGACCATTTATGCAATTTAATGAGATATAGATGTTTAGTGTCGATTCTGCAATACGTGCTTGAGCCATACTTGTTCACTCTTGGGTATCTTTACGGGAAGGATTACTCAACATGATATATTTTAGAAAATATGCTCCCTTCTAAACACCGATCTTCAACAAAAAGACTGGATAATAACCTACTTTGGAATACACTGCTTTGGATAACTAGCGGCAGTTGATCAAAAATTCACCTGCCGCTGCTACTAGCCATAGACATGCCATTTCTCTTACGTACCAGGTGCTGAGGACCAAATCCCATCACAAGAATTCCAGCTGTAGCGTTGTTAGATTCAGTATTCGATAGTTATACTACAGTATATTGACCTAAACATCTCCAGCCCAAGGTCACGTGCACGACACTCATTGGCAAGTTGACCTAAGATAGTAGAGAGCTAAAGCTTTGATAACGCTACCGCCTCCCAAACCAAATATTCCTCTCCCCGTGTTGACCAACGGAGAACAACTACCCAACTTCTCCCGGCGTCAAGTATCAGTTCGAACCAACCGATACTGCCTGGGCTGAGACGGGTGGTTGGGATCGAAAACGACCAAACCATCGGTTTTTCCAAACGCCGACACCCATCGCAAGTCTAATGATGTTATGACTTGACTAGTTTTTTCTTTTTCTTTTTTTTTTACCTAGCTCGAGCTTATCTCTCTTTCACATATTGTCTTTTAATATCAGGTTATGTTCTATTTATCTCTTAAGAACCTATACAAATCACCGGATAAGACTATACCATGAACGCCGTGGATGCGACAGAGCACTATGAGACGAGTGCACGCGGTAAGACCCCATCTCAAGCTATACAAGTTACAACTCTGCAAAGAGAACGACCCCAGCTCATACATTATAATTTTATAAGATCCTGCGCCCGCCCTTCTAACCCTCATCCTCGACACGAACCCCCACGCATGGGCCCTCCTCGAAGATTCCCTCCCGCTCTCCAAGGCGATCGCAAACATCCTAGTTTTCCTCAATGCCCATCTAGCCTGTAACTACGCAAACGAGGTGGCCGTGGTAGCTTCCCACAGCCAAAAGGCGGCGTGGCTGTATCCCCGCGAGAACCCAGCCACGAAGACATACCAAGATGCCGACGGCGACGTCTCGATGAACGGGTCGTCGACCAATAATAATACCACCGAAGGACCGGGACAGGTGAACAAATACCGACCGTTCCGGATCGTGGAGGAGCAAGTTACGCACAATCTACGTGAACTGATGGCGTCGACCAGCGGCGCGGACGTGAAAGCTACCAACTCGACGATGATGGCAGGGGCGCTTACGCTGGCTCTTAGTCATATTAACCGGCGGAGTATTGCGTGGGCTGAGGCCCATGGGGCTGATACGGCTGCTGAGACGTCGGGCGGTGGTCCATCTAGTGGTGGACATATGTCTGGGACGGACACTGCGGAAGGGTTGCAGTCGCGGATCTTGATCATATCCGTCAGTGGCGCCAGTGATTCTGCGCATCAGTATATACCGATTATGAATAGTATTTTTGCCTGTCAGCGGCTTCATATTCCGATTGATGTGTGCAAACTGAGTGGGGATGCGGTGTTTCTGCAGCAGGCTTCGGATGCTACTAAGGGGGTCTATATGTCGTTGACTGAGCCTCGGGGGCTATTGCAGTACCTGATGATGGCTTTTTTGCCAGACCAGCGATCGAGGAGACATCTGGTTCTTCCGACGCGAGTCGATGTTGACTTCCGTGCGGCTTGCTTCTGTCATCGACGGGTTGTCGATATTGGCTTTGTCTGTTCTATCTGTCTGAGCATCTTCTGCGAGCCTCCGGAGAACGGCAACTGCCTGACCTGCGGCACAAACCTTGAAATGGGTGACTACGGGGCTAAGCCAGCCGTGGTCACGCGAAAGAGGAAGAAGAAGAAGCGCGTGAACGGTCCGTCGGGCACAGCTACACCTACGCCTACGCCTACACCGGGGCCCTGATACCCTACTCATTATCAAACAATGTTTTTCTGCGTCATGGAGGAGGGTTAGGAGTAAGGTTATGTGTCTGCTACCTTTGGTCTCAGACGATGTGAACAGATTGTGTTACAAAGAACATATCCAGCTTCTATTTGGTATCCTATTTCAGATACGTGCAGGAGGCAGTCACAAACTCCGGTCGACACACTCCGACATTTCATAAGTGTCATTTTTCGAGAGAAAGACAGTTTGAAAAGACATCACCCGCCACACAGGCAAACAGAGTGGTTTCCATAGTCTTGAGGATTCTAGCCAACATCGTATTTCGGTTTCCTGCCTACATCAGTTGATTGATCGCCGAACACACGTGGAAAGTAACAACACTATCTAACGTTAGATAGTTTGACAGACAACGCTGGTCACCGGTAATCGGGTTGAAAAGTCACGTTCACGTCGACTTGTATAATACGCCAAATACATCAAAACATAGATAATAAGAGGACTTACTGTTGTGAATGGCTATGCTGTAGCACTGGGTACCTTGTACCTAACGACATATAAGCTCAGTCAGGGTAATATTTTGTAATTCGCACCATAAAGTGCTTCCTACCTCTTGGATCGGTAGGCGCGGCCACCTTGTGCGATACTCCCATTTCCATTGCTGCGTGACATGACAGACACTGGTTTCTTGTCCTCGCTGCTCATCGAAGCTAGGGCCTGAGTTGATTGCATTTAGTATAAAAGAGCTGAGAGATAAACTGGGGCTACCTACGAAAGAATCTGTGTTATGGCCAAAACACAGGTACACTCCATCGACTGTTTTCTTGACCGCCATTATTCCAATGGCACCCCGACAGTGGCTGTCTTTGACTCCTGGATGGCCTAAGCAAGAGGGAATTAGCCTTCTACATATAACGACGGTGGATGCAAGGGCCCGTCTGTTACCCATGAATTCGGACGCTATCATTCCCCTGAGCGCTTCATCCTCCGTGACTTCCTCAAATGAACCATCTTCGCATTTTCGTTGGTTGTAATAAATGCGCGAGGCACAGGTGCTAGCAGCCATACTAGTGGCGATGTGTTCGCCGGTTCCCGAAGTGACCGTAGCAACGCATGTTTGGTCCGGGTCGTTGGGGTCTAGTGGGATAACAGCAGTACCGATGCCCACGAGCGCTGCAGGGCCAATACGGCCACGATGTTTCATCCCAATTCCACCGGATGATGATCCTGCTGCGATATTTCCATGTGAATCGACTGCTATAGCACCAACAGTATCGCTAATTTGATCCATATCTGCGGAGTGTATATCCGCGGCAACAGAAGGGGGCGTCGTTTCAACGTCCATACTGGGTCCAGGAAAATGGGATGTCTCCAATGACGTACTGTCTGGGATGGTGCTGGATTTACAAGTCTGAGACACTATACCATCCATATACCTAGTGTCTCTGGCTCGTGGTGGTAACATGAGAGTATCGCTAGAACTGGCTGGTGAAGAGATACCCGAATTTCTAAGGCGTGTATCACCTAAACTGGAGCTAAGCGACGAGGCAGGTCGTATGCTGCTTGGTGAAGAAAGTAAGTCTGTCGGATTGACACTCACTGGTCGACGGATGTACGCCTTGTGACGCTCATATCTTGCTGGAAACTGCTGGGCCTCTTTCGATTCGGCCGCTTCCAAGTCCTGTTGCCAGCGCAGCCAACGCCCCCGTGCTTCCTCAGATATCAGACCGTCATGGGGAATCACAATTAGGCCTTGTTCATACGCAAAGCTCGTGGCGCCCTGTCCCACGAGGAAGTTGGGAGGCACTCTCTGCAAAGTCAACGGCTTTGTTGATGCCTCAAGAACGACCCGGGCTAATGAGATTGGATTCTTGACTTCTATAACCCTATGTCAGTCTATTCATACACTAGCCAGCGCGAAACAAATTCTCCTAGCGAGAACGTACGAGAAACAGCGCCAGCCGCACCACTTCGGCCCAGGTGGTTTACGATAGTAGCGTCGCATTCAACAGCGCCATCGATGGTTAGGTTGCTGCCGTAACCGGCATTTGTGATTTCAGAATCTTCCAGGAGCATAATGGCGATTTCCACGGCATCAACAGCTGATCCACCATTTTTGAGCATCTGAATTGCCACTTTCGCTGCGCTACTGAAGATTAGACATGCCAGAATATTGCGCGATCAGAAAAGGGCCTCACGGCGCCAGTGGGGTCAACAACTCACTTCTCACATGTTTCTAGATGTATCTTTTCGTTGTGCGGACTATGAAACCCAGCTCCTGCATGGACAAAAATGGCAGAGACATCGTCTCTCCGTGGACGGCTCATTGTGTCTTTGAGTTGGCTTGTCGACGAGGGTGAAAAGTCGGCGCGTAGCTTTGCGGCCGGTTGTTGCGGAAATAAGAAAGGTGGAAGACTCCACACAGTTTGGGAACAACTCAAGACCAAAGCTCGTAGCGGAGACTGGTGATTCAGCATCCAATCTATCAGAGAGTAGAGAGCACACACTGAGGAAACATCCCTTCAGCGGGGTGGCTCTCCTTTGCACAGCAGAGTCTGCGGGTCGGTATATTTCCACGCTGGTTAGTTTTTAGGAAACTGTGTCAATTTTCCGTTTTTAATTGTGGATGAAAATAAGGGAAGACAAGGTTTTTGCAGGACTGATCAACTGTTCAATGAAGACAAGGCGTGTCGAGTTGAAGAACAGTGCTAGGGAATACTAGTATTAGGGACAATGAATAGTGTTAAGACTAAAGGTATGGGTATAGCTATGATTCCATCACAAAAGAAGTGTAGTAAGCACTAGGAATACCTGAATGGCATTAAAAAGAAGGTCTTTGAAGCAATGAGTGTGTAGGATTGTAGGTACAAAAGGTGCCCAGAAGGAGAATGGAGGAAGACAACACAAATATAGACCGAGTGAATGTCTCGGTTTTGAATGGTTCGCAGTTCCTTCCGAAAGAACAGTCACCCAGACAGAGAGGCAGTTACCTCTGGTGAGTGATCTGTAGATGCCATAACTTACAAACAATTTATGTCTTTTGTATACAAAGGGAATGCTTTCCAGGAGAAAAAGATAGACATGTATAGAGAATATATACTAAATTATGAAACCAACTCATAGTTCAACGTAGATTGATATGCGGACAGCACATGACTGGGGCTTGGCATCGATGTCATCAACCTCAGGTATCCAAAATTACCATACGGAAAAATTACCTACCTAAAACAACGGGCATACGTATGAGACTTAAGGTACGGACGGTACACTCACTACTACTTACTACTTGCCCGCCTCTCCGTCCTTCCCTCCCCTCCTCCGCTATTCTAACGACCCTCTCCCTTTTCCAGTACCCACTTTACTTTCTCTTCCATTCTATTCTCTGCTTCCTGGCCTCCCAATTATCTCCAGGCCGACCGGTAGCAGATTGTTCTAATCGCGGTTTGGGAGAAAGGGGAACTGTGGACGTGCGTGCTCCAGCTCATCCGTCATGGCGTCCCAAACCCCAGCCGTTGTCATGGACAAGTATGTCGCTCTACACCGTCAGATCCCGCCCGCGGATGATAAAGATAACTAACTCTGGGTGCTACTGTGTAGCGGTACTGGATACTCGAAATTAGGTGCGTTGAATTATCCCAGTGCCTATCGCTCAAGAGCGAGCCGCCCAACCTTGAGCTTCAGGCTGAGCTCTAGGCTGACGAGTAACCAGGTTTCGCCGGTAACGACTCGCCTTCATTTGTTTTCCCTACCGCAATTGCGACCAAATCTGGTGCTGGAAGCACCAAGCCTCCTGTCGCCAACAAACCCGGGTTCTTGTCTGCAGGTGGTGGGGCAGGCTCACACTTGTCTTCGAAGCGTGGTACAGAAGACCTGGATTTCTTCATCGGCGATGAAGCTCTAGCTGCTGCCAATGGTCCGGGATATGGAATCAACTACCCCATCCGACATGGTCAGATTGAGAATTGGGATCACATGGAACGGTTCTGGTCGAACTCGATCTTCAAGTACCTGCGCGTCGAGCCGGAGGACCACTACTTCCTTCTCACTGAACCTGTAAGCTTGTTTTTGATTTCAATCGCTTTTCCGTGGTTGCTGTTAGCTATGGTAGAAACGACATGTGCTGATATATCCCGGTTCCACAGCCCCTGAACCCTCCCGAGAACCGTGAGAACACTGCGGAGATCATGTTCGAGTCGTTCAACTGCGCTGGTCTTTACATTGCGGTTCAAGCCGTGCTTGCACTCGCTGCCTCGTGGACTTCTTCTAAAGTGACCGATCGATCCCTCACAGGAACCGTAATTGACTCCGGTGATGGTGTCACCCATGTTATTCCCGTCGCGGAAGGCTACGTCATCGGATCCTCTATCAAAAGCATACCCATTGCCGGTCGAGACATCACGTATTTCGTACAAAGTTTGCTTCGTGACCGAGGCGAGCCCGATAGCAGCTTGAAAACTGCTGAGAAGGTTAAGGAAGAGTATTGTTACGTGTGCCCGGACATTGTGAAGGAATTTGCCCGCTATGATCGCGAGCCGGATCGACTCCTCAAGCATACTGTCACCTCGCCCAACGGCCGGTCCGTGAACATCGATGTCGGATATGAGCGCTTCCTTGCTCCCGAGATCTTCTTCAACCCTGAAATCTACTCTTCCGACTTTTTGACTCCGCTGCCGACCGTCGTCGACGGTGTGATCCAGTCTTCCCCTATCGATGTTCGGAGAGGCCTTTATAAGAACATTGTCTTGTCCGGAGGATCTACGCTATACAAGGACTTTGGTCGGCGTTTGCAGCGTGATATCAGGCACCTGGTCGATGCTCGCATTCGCGCGTCCGAAGCTCGCAGTGGTGGTGCCAGGAGTGGTGGCTTGGATGTGGCTGTTGTGACGCACAAGAGGCAGAGACATGGTCCGTGGTTCGGAGGTAGCTTGTTGGGTCAGACCCCAGAGTTCCGCAGCTACTGCCACACCAAGGCAGAGTACGATGAGATAGGCCCCAGCATTGTCCGGAGGTTTGCCCTTCTCGGAGGCCCAGGCAGCTCGTAAATAGAGGAGATTAGTTGCCAGTGTGTTCATTAGCTCTTTGTCAATAGTTTTCTTTTCTCTTACCATGTTCCACAGCCCATCTCAATCTGACGCTGCGCGTTTCATGTAGTTGGATAGACCAGAGGACAAAGTCCTGACCTAATCCTCACGCCCAATGTATGTACATAAACACCAGACCCTCATAAGCAAGCTTCCTTCGGGACGTTCACGTATGAATAAAAGTGAAAACGTTCAATGTCTGCCACTGTCTGGTACCTGCTCCTACGATAACCTAGCTGAAACATGTCGCCATCACTAAAGTCGAACAATGGGCTGGAAAGAGAGCAATATGAAGAGCATTTAAGTAATGAAAACCCTCGCCGCAACGGACTTGATCTAACTCATTCCCCAACCTATAGCGACAAACCGCTACAGACAATCCATTTACAATCAAAGCCTAGCCTTATCATTACTCATATCTACTCCTCCGAGTGTCTCCAACCCGTCAACAAAGGCATCCCACGAAGCCTGCGATAGAATAGGTGCCGTGCAGTATGGTCCAGCACCAGTCGCATCCAGTAACGGATCTAACCGGGGCAACAAAGCATCCAGCAAACGAGCCTCCTTCTGAAAGATATATTCCCGAGTGATATCGGTATGTTGGACGTACCAGCTTTGGTCTAGCAGCATAGCATGAATCTCATACAGGGCTAGTAAATCCGAATCAACGCCTGCTTTTGCGGCAGCTTCGTAGGCTCTTCGATGTCCGATGGCTTCTATGAGGGCTGGACATCTTGGTAGGATTAGCGAGTTGAATTCGGCGCTCCGGTGGCCTCCTTTTAGGCCATTCAGTATTGAGTGCGACTCATCAAAGAGACCTTTTTCGTGCTGGGCAAGGAGACATGTTGGGTTCGTGGGGGGCGGGGGTTGGTACCAGTTGAGGAGGAGTTCGGTGCCGATTTCTGGTTGCTCTTGTGAGATGTGTGGAGTAGAGAAGAAGCTGGGAAGCATACTGATACTCAATGCTAAGATATCCCCTTCCACGATCGAAACCATGCGCGCTTCTAGTTGTGGTCCAATTATTTCGTTATACTCCCATAAGCCCTGCGCGCCGCAACGCTCGGATAGGGCATGGAACATGGACTGGGAAGCCTGGCATAGCACTGCCTTGAATGTGACGCTGATAACATGCTGGATGAGTGGCATACCGTTCGACCTTTTGAATTGTCGGATGCTGTCTTGTGCGAATGGGTCGAAGGCCGCGATCTGTGCCAATGCATGCAGTATAGGGAGTTGTTGGGTGCGGAATGAGATGATAGGAACAGGTTTACTAGTTTGTCTCATTATCCGTCGGCGAAGACTGTACTTGCCAGCCACAAAGACGGCTCTCTTCATTTGTGGGATCAGGGACGTAGTGACTGCGAGCGAACCAACAGCAGTACGCCGAGTCATTGACAGGAAGCCCTCTTGCATATTGTCAGGCTTCTTTAGAGGTCCCAGAAGCGCTGATCTGGGTAGACGGACGTGTGTAAATATTGTGATGGCATGATCTAATGGTTTCGATCCTGCTCGTTTAGGGAGTAACCTGTAGGGTTTTAGTTCTCAGATAATAGGCAACACGAACTCTCTTAGGATCTGTATACTTGGCGGTGACTCCTTCACACATATTCTTGCCATCATTAAGCCAGACGATGAATGGCCTAACCCCCCAATCGTCACCAGAAACGAGAAGCCGGGCAAACACAAGAGCAACTCGAGGAAAGCCCTTTCTTGGCCAGTTCGGGGGTGTGAATCTAAGCCAGTTAGCTGCAGGAAGCTAGCAATATAGTGCATGGCTTCGTTTACTTTGCTGCATTTGAGTTGGGCGTATGAATATCGAAATCGCCATTTGGAAGCAATGTCGCTGTTGTTTCTAGGTTCCGAGCATCCAGCCCATGTCCAACCTCTGTGAGCATAAACTGCACACTATTAAGGAATGTCAGCTTTATCTATGTGACGGCAGTCCACTCAGGCACAAGGAGCTTACGAGACGTCAAACTTGAGTATACGATCCAAAAGTGGCTGATACCCGGGCTGATCTGTCACAAACATAGCGAAAGTCGCTCCAGCAATATTATACTGAATTGAAATTAAGACAAATGCTGCATTATCAAGAGAAAGGGTCATGTCCTGGTGAATCTGCCAGAACTTTGGGGTCAGATTGAGAATATCTGATGCTGTCAAGCCTAAATCGATGAGTAAGTTGTACCCATCCTCGTTTAACGAACCTCACCATATGCCTTAGCAACCGCGTAAGCGCGGTGATAGCTAAGTTCTATCCTTTCATCATTAGTCAGATGCTCAGGAATTGATTTGAACAGATCTGACTTGAGTAGCTTCAGAGTTGGTGAAGACATAGTGATTGACAATCTGGCCAATCTTTTTCTTCAAAGTATCATAGGCGGAGCGACTTTTAAAGGTATTCTGTGGATCAACAGCAGTTGTGACATATAGTCATGGAATATAAACTGAATCCTAGGTTTGATGACGTGCAGAAACGAGTTGCAGCCTTGGAACTACTAGTAGCTTCGACAACAACTTGGCCCGCAAAAGTATGTTGTCCGGTCCACGTTCATAGCTAAAAACTGTAACCCATTCAAGTATGAAGACCAGACACTGGCCCGTACGTTATTTCATGGCACGTCTCGGCTCACTTTGCCTATACTTCTATCTATACTCTGTTGTACTTGTCAGTAGTCGGCCGTAGTACATCGCCTGGTACATACCTTGTGAGCTAGGCTGTTGAGGTAAATGGGCAGTTCACACGTAAACTTTGTTCTATATGCGTGTCTTGGATGAGATCTCACGCTGAAATAGGACAGGGGGGTTCCCCAGATGTCAAGGGAGTCTGGTTGAAGGGTGCTTGTGAACGTGAGATGCCTTTCTAACTTAGATCATTCCAACTGTACTAGTATACATTATGTGTCCATGTGATCCTCGAGCTATACTTAACCAGGCGAACCCGTGGCTTCTGCCTCTACGATGACAATATACTAAGGGATATGAAGCTTTAGCAGCTACTAGGTACTCATGAATCGCGGCAGATGCCCAGGTATTATTCACTATATATATATACTCCTGCCATGTCCAACCTGGTCCAGTGGGGTAGAACAAGAGACTGGATCGTATCTTAGAAGAAAAAGCCAAAAACAATATTTCCTGCTTCGCGAAAAGCTCATTCATGTACTAACAATAGAGAATCGTCAATTAAAGTCTATGCTATGCTTTTTTATGTCGTAGCCAACGCCGGTTGAAGTCCAACAACTCCGGTTAAGGATGTTAACGTTATGTCTTTTGTGCCATCGCCTTCACTTTTTAGAATGTAGTCTTGTTTAAGATTGCCACACCTTCAACGTGGCCCGTTTGAGGAAAGAAATCAAAGCCTCTGATACTCTCAATCTCAAAACGGATATTCTTTTCCTTGTCACCCTGGACCATAACCGCCACATCCCGCGCCTGAGTATGCACGTTGCAACTCACATAGACGACGCGGCGAGGCCCAAAAGTCAGAAGCTGTTGGAGGAAATCATCACTGCAACCCTTGCGGGGCGGGTCAATGACAAGGAGTGTCTGGTCGGGAGGATAGGGTACGTCTTTGAAAAGCGTGGCGGCATCTGCCGCGGCAAAGCCAGTGTTGGGAAGGGAGTTGGCGCGCGCATTCTCTCGTGCAGAGACAATGGAATCTCCGGCCACATCCACACCAAGGCTTGACTTGAAGAGCGGCGAGAGGGTGATTGTGAAAAGACCGGACCCGGAATAGGCATCTAGAAGATACTTGATCGGCTTGGGGTCTTCTTGGTTGTTTTTTGGTAACGCAAGCTGGCGGATGTAGTCTGTGAAGCCGGAGAGGATGGAATTGTTGTTTTGGAAGAAAGCGCCAGCTCTGTTGCTGAAGAAGTAATCATCGATGTACTCGACCGACGTACCATTGGGATCCGTCACACACCGCTTCTCTTCGGTGTACTTCTCTCGTTCGATCTGAATCACATCTCCGGAATCCTCGCCCACTTCAATCTCACGGTCCTTGACCGTCGAACCAGGATCCACACCATCTTTAGGAAGTCGCGCGGTAGATTCACGCAACAAAATAGTTGCGCCTTTAGTGTATTTCCCAATGTTTTCTGCAACCTTCTTTCTCTCACTTTTCAGGCCCTTTCGCACAATATCGGTACCCAAAGGACAATCTTCAATATCCAGATCCCGGCGCTGGTTCTTATAACAGAATCCAATGGGTGGGACCTCTTTATGAGGTTCTTTAGGAGCTTTGCTCCTCCTGTTCCCGCCGGGGCCCGCAAAATGTGGCGTCAACTTCGTGCGATAACCGTACTGCAGAGGGGAGGGAAAAGTGTTGTCAACGGCCGGAATTAACTCCGGGATCAAGCCGGAGAAGTTGGCATAAGCCTTTTCCACAATGCGCTTCTTATGAGCCAGCTGATCTTCGTAGGGCATCATCTGTAGCTGGCAACCGGAGCACTTGCCAAAGTATTGGCACCCTATCCCGGCATCATTTCGCTGAGGGCCTGGCTCAATCACTTTGAGAAAATCTGTCAAACTGTAGGACAATCGAGGAAAATGCCGCACGATCTTCACCAAGGCCTTATCGCCGGGCACGGTAAACGGAACGACGTAGACATGGTTCGCATCTTCGGACAATGCAAGGCCATCGCCAGTTGAGGATATCTCGGTGACCTTGACTTCGATCTCGGTAAAAGTCTCCGGTAGAGAAGTCGGTGGTGGTGTGGAAGCATCTTCTACGCCAATCTCGCTCTCCGGCTTGTGCTTCCGCAGAAGGTGGTCGATATCAGCTTGCAGGACTTCGTCAAAACCACTAGTCTTTTCTCGGTCAACCTTGGTCTTCTTGCGCCGCTTCGCACTCGTATCTGGACTTTTGGGAGAGTTCGACATTATGGTTGAGGAGAACGGCGCAATGGGGTATAGACGGTGGGACAAGAGAGACTTGGAATGGACGAGATGTCCAGTCCGCAAAGATAGAATTGAAGAGTAGTGTTTTCGCGATAGGGAGAGACCCGCCCTAAAAGCGAACATATATACCAAGCCCAATGCGAAAAATTCTAGAGAGCAGAGGAATTGTTGCGAAAGAAGAGCAGAAAGAGAAAATGGGCTTAATTTCTGGAGGGACAAGATGAGTGACCAAAAAAAGGCGGGCGGCAATTGGTCGAACCGCTCCGCTGAGAATTTCGCCGGCTTTTAGTCCTTCAGTTCTTCAACCATCCAAACCTCCGTCCACCCTACGCACCGCGGTCGATACCACTTTCCCCCAATCCCTTTCTTCTTTCCGGAAATCACTCTCCAGTGGCCTCTGCTGGCCAGAGAGCTCCTATCCTTCAACATGAGCATCGCACGGCCGGCAAGATGTGTGTTTTGCAGCTTTACTCGAGGTGTCTCCGCCGGCACACGAGTGCCTAGTCGCCAATTCCACCCTTCCCCGACACAGTTCGCGAACCGTAAACCAAAATTCCCCAACTTCAAAGCCCGAGATGAGAAGACTTTGGAAGAAATTACGCGGGATATGAAGCCGAAGCACTTTCAGCCGTACACGGAAGATGAAAAGGCAGGCCTGAAGGAAGAATACACTCCTGAACAGCTGGCCGCAATTGAAGCCGGCGAGGCGGCAATCGACCCCAAAGACATGGCAGAACAGTTTGCTATTCGCCGGGATCCGATGAAGCTTAACTACCTGGATGATTTCTCCACCATTGAACCTGGCGTGGACAAACATGTCCGGGCGCCCAAGTCCAACTCCGACTACAACGCGACCCTCAAAAGCGATGATGATTTTGTCGAAGACTTCGCCCGCTTCTTCCAGGAAATGCCAGAGGATGCCACCGCAGCTGATTGGGTGCGGTTCGCTGACACCTTGCGAGTCACCCTGGGCAAGGAGGAGAATGAATTGAACCCTCACAGTGCCTTGGTACCGGATTTGTTCAGCCCGGGGGAGCCCCTGACGGAGGAAACCAAACCTGTCAAGCCTTTTGAGATGCAAACGTCGCCAAGGTTTGGAGAGAGTGAGGAAATAACTGAGGCGTTGAAGAGGCTTCTACAGTCCACAGGCTATGACCAAGTCTTTGTCAAGGGTCTGGCGACGAAGACCCTTGTTTCGCACTCGGTTGTTAACCAAACTCGTCTGGGTAAGGTGCGTCGTATGTACTGCCTTTCCATCGCTGGCAACGGCAATGGTCTCCTGGGAATTGGAGAAGCCAAGTCCGAGGAGTCCGCCGATGCCATCACACAATCCAAATACCGAGCCATCAGAAACATGCAACCCATCCCACGGTACGAGGGCCGCACCATCTTTGGTGATGTTGAGGGCAAGGTTGGAGCAGCTGAGTTGAAGTTGATGACTCGTCCACCAGGTACGTATTCGCTTAATCATGGGCTACTGGTTCCAGCTACTCACAGTGCATAGGATTCGGACTCCGTTGTCAGCATTTGATCTTCGAGATGTGCCGTGCAGCCGGTATTCATGACCTCGCCGCTCGTGTCGGTCGCTCGAGAAACCCTATGAACACTGTTAAGGCAGCTTACGAGGCTCTCATGAGTCAACGCAACCCAGAGGATATTGCCCGTGCTCGTGGCAAGAAGATGGTCGATGTCCGTAAGGTCTACTACTCGGGAAGATACTAATCAGCGTCTTCGGCACGATGTTACGTTCTTCCTAGTTGAACATTTCTTTCCGGGTCTTCAATGATTTCAAATAGTCTGGATAGCCTTCTTTTCGTTATCTCGACGTCTCGACAGTCATCATCTCGCATAGAATAGACTGTACGAATATGGGCATCGTTTGCGGCATGTGATGCACGCTTCTTTGCGTTATGGCGATGTATATAATCCTTTTTCCTCCTTTTGTTCGTTTTGTACCCTGACATGTATTTGTATCTGCAAGGCTAGTGTCATAGTATTTCATATCAATCCAGGTCCTGGTTCCATAATCATTCAACCCTCTAAAGCCCAACACCAAAACCCACATACAAAACCCACATACAAAACAAAGGGGGTATACCCATGGCCCACACCTATATATGCAAGAAAGAGGAAGAGAAAGAGAAAGAGAAAGAGAAAGAGAAAGAGAAAAAAGAAACAAAAAACCCATACAATAATCACAGAAGCGAAACAAGACGGCCAACATCAAGTAAACCGCCCTTCAAAGCTCATATCGTCATCCTGATAATCGTACCCCTGATCATGATACTGCATCTGATCGCCCTGCTGCTCCATCTGCTGCTGTTCCTCATTCTCGTTGAAGATCTGTTGCTGGAGCACAATGCTGTACACACTGGCCTTCAAAAGGGTGCAAACCGTCGCCGTCTTCCGTTCAAGAAGTCGGAGGCCGTCCAGGGTAAGGGATGAGGGATCACCGGAGAGGTCGGCGAGCTTGTCAGACAGCTGTAGACAGGTCGCATCAGTATAAGCTTGGTGACGCTATTCTCTCGAAAATAGGAGTGGGATGGGCGGCGGGGATATAATGGAGATAGGATGCGCGGGGTATAGCGAACAACAACCACATCGAGAGATAGAAATGATATTCAAAGATTGAGAAGATCAATGTGCACTACATACCTTATTTACATTGCCCAGTAGCCTAGAGTATTCATCGAGAACTTCTTGTTCCAGATCGGAGACCATCGGATTTGAGGCGCGGAGGAGAGGGTTCTCGGATTCTTGTGCTGGGGAGCCATCGGACATCGGGGTAGACATGGTGATGGGAAAATGAATTTTATAATGCGAAGCTTTGGAGATAGGGTGGAATGGGTATATATCGAAAAATATCTTTTCTTTAGGAGCAGTCAATTGCGAATGTAGATTGATTGGTGGGGCGGTGGTGTAGAGAGGCCTAATTTATTTGTTTGGGTCGCGGCGTGTTTTCTATCAATCAATAATACATCCAGGGACCCGTCTGGAGGGGACTGGGCCCAATCAAGCAGGCGGCGGCCTCTGTATCGTGCGGCAGAATAATGTGTACACTTTCTTGACTTCCTGATCGAAATGTGTCTATTTAGGAGGGCGTTATAGCATAGTTAATATTGATCCTGAATCAATATTAGTAGATCCTAGAGGTAACTCCTATTTTATATGAACTTTAAGAAGACCTTCGGGTTCCAAAGAGACTATATCTGTGGAGATAGAAGTGGTCTAGAATACTAGTAAAAGTGTCGTTGCCTACCTCGAGGTTGATGGGCTCCGGCTAGCCCCGATTTCCATCAAGGACCGCCTGCCATAATAGGACTAGTACTAGATCACATGATAATATTACTTTCTAATCAGGCTAGTCAGCTATTTACTGTATAGCCAATCAAAGACATCCTCTCTACTTCCTCTCAACAGATGCTAGTTAGTATTATGGGCGTAGCTTATGCATGCCATAAGTGGTCGCTCCTACTAGTAGTACTTCTAGAGCTATGTATAAAGCTCAATATGGTCGTTCAGAGACCACGTTCCCTCCCTTCTCAGGAGTTAGGAGCCAAGTCATCACAATGTTGTCCTTGAACGCACAAGTCTGACGCAACTGTCGCAGGCTTTATATCTCAGGAAACCCTGCCGACTTCCTGTCTCCAAACTATGTTTGACATGTAACCATAATCTCTCACTATCCAACCTGCTATCGTCTACATCTTACATAGCCAATGACGTCAATCCAGCCAGCAGCATTTGGGTAGGTACCCAACTCCACCCCCTCAGATTAACAACCCTAGACAGTTCTCGAGTAGAATGGAACATTGTCCCCGATGCAGAACCACATAGCAAGCTGTCCACAATTTTATTCCCAGCAAGAGAAGAGCCATCCGCGGAAAACCTCAGAGTTCTGTCAAACATGTACCCCTACACTAGGACCTAGGTATTCCACATACTGCACCGCTCAAAATGAATGGCCCAAGGACCTCTATAACTATCAAACCGAAGTTGAAGCAGCAAGAGGAGGCAAAGTAGTCGTATGAGTAGTCTCAGCCGTACCATTTGTCGCATAATCACTCCCAGGAGAGACCTCAACCTCCCCGGTAGCAATATCAAACCCATTAATAGTCCTATTAAAGATCTGCAACGCAGCAGCCGGTTGGAAGTCTAGCCATGCTCAAGTTAGCATTTAAGACATCATCAAACAGAGAACCAAAAAAAACGGAATCTCATACAGGGAACTTCATGTCCAGCCTCCCAAACACGGGTAAAGCTCAACTTTCCATACTGCCGAGTTTCGCCGTATGCCGTCCCATCCACCACGAGGTTCGTGTATCCTGCATTGTTGAACGCTTCTCGACCCGACCATTGGGCAACCTTGGAGATTGCCTCCCCGCCGAGCCAGTTGCAGATGTAGTCGGCGTCGCCGTAGACAAGGGAGATCTGGATATCTAGTTCCAGGAGCTTTTCTAGATCAGGAAGATACGGCGCCGCGAAGTCACCGGACAGACTGAAAGCTGTGTAGATCAGGTTGCTTGAGGTGTAGTTTAGATCTACCCCGAGAGCGTCTTGGACAGGGGCAGTATTGAGGTAGTCCTATGTTGTATGTCAGTTGGCAAGCAAATTTAGGAATGGAGGGTATGTAAACACCTACACGCCAGTAACTCGGGGGAACGTCTTGACCGGTAGGTTTACGCTGGTATGGCCTGGTCAGCCATCAATGCGTGATGAAGGAGATGTCAGACGTACGATATCATAGGTTCCACGATCGCCGAAGCGATAGAACAGTCCTTCCACAGTGGTCTGGCAGATAAATTGAGCGGCGGCACACGCTGACCGACGGACAATGGCATTTTCCCGCTTCATCCAGTTACAGTAGTCAAGCTGGTCTTGACAGCCATCTGGCATGTAGAGGCTGAAGGCACCGTGGTCATAGACTGTGTCGTTGATAAGCTGTACCCCGTATGTGTTCTTCTTTGTGAACTCGAGAAGGTACTTCGTCTGCGTTGGCTCATCAATGATGCCGTTTATGATCCCAAGAGACTTGAAGTTCAGTTTGCGGCCTTTGGAACCATCTTCAGGGAGCTTCTCGTTCTGCTCATAGAAGTATGTGGAGAAACTGGGGCCCCAGTGGCCACCGAATGATTCGGTCCTAGTTATCGGATCAGCTGTATGGATCTACGAGAGCATTCACTCGGGGTTTCGGATACCAGAGGTTAAAATCCGTCGACTCAACATCTGCATCTAAATCTGGCAGTGCGCTGTAAAAGCCTTGAAGCAGCTCCCACGCAGACTCCGCCGCCAACCGGCTTGTGTCGAGCGCAGTGACATTGATGACAGACCACCGCCCTTCTTCGGTCTTGTTGGCAGTCGATTCGACCGTCAGATAAGTAGGATCTAAGGATCCAACCTCCTTCGTGCTATAAGAGAACCCTGCAAGCTTATTAGCACACACAGCCAACCCACCTAATATCACGGTAAACCGCATACCTGTCCCCACGGGCTGAGAAAGAAACAACAGGTTAGAAACCTCCGTCCAAGAATGATCGCGAAGAACTGTTGTCATATTCTCCGCGACAGTACAAGGGCCCAATTCCTCAAACAGCCCAATCAGCGAATCACTGCCCGGTCCTCCATTGAGCCAGAGCGTCACCGGATCATGCTTCGGGTCGCGCTTTGATTCAAAGAACCAGAAAAACACATGGATATCCGGCGTGATATCAATGTAACCGCTGTACGATTCGACCCCTGGAGTGGTTTCACAGACGCCTTCTTCGCCGGGTTCCTTGTACCGAATCGTGCTACCATTCGGGCTGGTGATGGTTTTGACGCCGGTCGGTTCTTTGGGCGCATCTCGTGGGTTGACTGCGAGGACGGTTGTTCCAGCAGCTGCTAATAGGAGACTGAGTTGCATTCGCATTTTAGGGCTTTGAGTAGGCTGGTTCTCTCTAAATAGCTTACAGATGTATCTCGTACTTGAGATTGAACCGGGATGGGTTTTACTTGGCTGGTCAAGGTATCTTTCCAAGCTGCTTTTCTATCTATCACGGCCTCTGTACAATATGCTCCCCTTGTTAACTGAGCCGAAGGACGGGATCAGGTCCCGAAGATTTAATATATTGATTCGGTGGTTGTTAGGGCTTATCTACCGAGCTGACATGGTACAGTTACATCGCTGGATATCACGCGGTCTGGCCTCGGACCGTGTATGACTATCCCGAGGATTTATTGGGCGACCTGCGGTGCTATTAACCGGGGTGCTTCATTCCTGTGCGGAGTAATTGGGTTAAATTAATTAATGATAACGTGTGACTCTTAACGTGCAGATCTCCCCCCCGTCGGAAAATTTCCTGAGACATGGATAATCTAGCTCCACGAGTATGGTTCGCTGGTTGTATAGATGGTACTCGGATTGGGAGATGGTTGGCCATTGCCAGTGAAACTAGTAGCGTCTGCGGAGACATGTTGGAAATTGGAACACGGGCTGATACCAACATCGTAGACGTGAGGGCATAAAGTGGTCTCGGTTTGGACTGGGGGTGATCGAGTTCCTCTTGGGTGGTGTCGGAGAGGACGTATGGACGACAAGTGACTGGCGATGTGCTTGTCTATGGAATGATACCAGAGAACTGTGCTGCTCTACTAGCAAACGAAAACGTCTGACTGAGAAATAGAAAGCATGCATAGATAGTCAGCTACGTAGATGGGATATACCCTGGATCACCTATACAACTCCATCGGACTAGACCACGCCACTCGGTTCTAAACCTTCGATTCTCCCATGATAAACCCGACCATCTTCTTGATCCCCGAGCTCGATTTGACCCGAGCTTCCAGATCTTCGCTCACGTAGTGTCTGCGGCCTGTGTTCAGGTCGATGTCCTTCGCACGGATCCATAGCGGACCTCGATAGTAAATCTTGCTCCCGACGTATAGACCCACAATGGCAACGATCGATATATAGTTCGCAAAGAAGTTTTCAGCACTGCTCTTTTTCTTGAGAGGCCACACAGCCAAGTAAAACTGGACAACAACCAACAGTATACACCAGGTCAACCCATAGACAGTTCCAAAGAGCCCTGCCCACGACCTCCATGGTAGGTCGTCCAGCGAACGGCCCTGAGCCCTCCATGCCATACGGAACCGCAAATGAGACAGGAATATCGTGCCCCAGAGCCAGAGAATGCACAGGGCCGTCAGGTTCGAAAACCATCCAAATACCGTTGCACCGGAATTAGTGACGTTGAGATAGCATAGGCCGCCTCCCACGAGGAATGTGATCAAGATGGCCGCCCACGGGCGACCCAGCCGGTCACACTTTGTGAAAATGGCCGGTGCCATGTCGATATTTGCCAGACCGACCACCGTACGAGTAGCAGCATATGCTTGTGCATTCCCGGAAGAAACTACACTGATAAAAATAACTGCATTCATCGCGTGTGCGAGGCCCGGGATACCAGCATTGCGGAAAGCGATCACGTAGGGGCTGGCATTGATCCCTTCACCACCGAAGAGATCTGGGTCTTTGGGTGAGACGGTAATGGTCACCATCAGGCCGCCAACGACATAGAAGAGCGTTAGACGAAGCCAAATCGAATTGACGGCTTTGGGGACCGATTTCAATGGGTTGCGAGCTTCCGCAGCAGCGATGCCGCTGAATTCAGTGCCCCCCATAGCGAAAATACAGGTGCCCATAACAGAGAGGAACCCTTTGAAACCATTGGTAAAAGGCATGGAGTTCCAGTACTCAAACCCAGTCTTATGATGGTTAGGCGCCCCGCCAGCACTGATGATGATGCAGCTTATAATCACCACCACAATCCAGAATAGCTTGATGGTCGACATGACGGCCTCCACCTCTCCGAAAATCTTGACGGCACATACCACGATGATCAAGATCACCACCAAAAATATGGAGAGCCATGCCGCAGTCGGCACAGATTGCGTCCAGAAGCTCAGGACTGTAACCACACCCTGAAGCTCGTTGGCGAGGGTAATCGAGGCTGAAAACCAGTACGCCCATCCTATTGTGAAAGCGGGCGCTTTATCGATAAACTTGGTAGCCCATTGGGGGAATGCTGAGGCTAAGGGATAGAGGACTGCCAGCTCGCCGATGGCTTGACTGAGCGCCCATGCGATGGAGCCTGCGATGCAATAGCCGAGGAATATAGCAGCGGGTCCACCGTTGATCAGCGAAGTGCCGGACCCTAGCCACAGGGCCATTCCAATCGACGATCCGATCGAGAACATTAACAAATGCCGGGACTCTAGGGAGCGTGATAGCTCCGAATCCGCACCGTGATCTTGCTCGTTGTACTCGGCAACATGACCAACCTCGTCCTTGTCGGCTGACGCCAACTTCTGGGGTTGAATAGTGCCTTCTTCCTTAATGGCTTTATCCATGGTGGGCTGTGTAGAGACTCGAGAGGAACTATAATCCGGGAGAGTGGCCAATATCGAAGTATGCAAGGCGGACCACGCCCTATCGATTCCACAAGAGGTGACAATAATGTAGCTGGGTGAGTCTAATGGTGATGCTTAGCAGTAAGACTTCGAATAGTATGCATCAGTGGAGCAGTGGATCTGGTGCCATCGGACGCTATCTATATACTCATGGTCTCCACATAGCTGCCTCACAGCGACATATTCGTATCGCCCGGTTTTGTTTGCTCAAATCATGACGTCCAACACCGGAGAATTACCAGAACTGTGCCCAATCGTCCTGAATCCTAAATCTCGAGATGAGAGCCTGGAGGTTCGGCATCACCTCCCGAGGGTCGAGTGCCTATCAGAGAACTTAGTGCCAGGAATTATCAGCAGGGTCTCACTGTAAGGTTATACTATCAATGAGCCAGGAAATGGCCCGGCCAATGACAGTCAGGGCGCCTTGCTTAGAGCGCCTGCTTTCTCCTCTTTGTCCATGAAGATCCTTTAGCTTATCCCACCATTCGGAGTGTGTTCCGCTCTATAGACTCGAACACCAAGATGGCCGCGTTCGAGAGCACCGGCGTTTCCCCACGCGGAGATTTCCCACAGTTCATACTGTCCTAGAAATTCCCTTAATAGTCCCGTCCGATTGTAATGTATCAGCGGTCACTTTGTTTCCGTATACCCAAGGACCATTCAGCTAATCATGGCGCCTGCAAAGCTGGTGTCGTTCAAATATGAGGAAGTCCCAGTCGGTGCAATCAAGCCACGCGGATGGGTGAGAGATCAGCTTCGTCTGGCCGCTGATGGGCTAGCTGGCCACATGTTCGATTTCTACCGCTATGTCAAGAACAGCTCCTGGCTGGGCGGCACCGAAGAGTACAGTGAGCTGAACGAAGCAGCGCCCTACTGGTACAACGGAATTGTGCCGTTGGCATATACGCTGGACGACGAGCGACTCAAAGCCCAGGCGAATCAGTTCCTTGACTACGTGATCACTCACCAAGCTGAGGATGGCTGGTTGGGTCCCGAAACCACCAAAGAAACCCGAGGGCTGTGGGCGCGGTGTCTTCTGCTCCTTGGTATGGCTGCGCACGCGCAGGCTGACCCGGGACGCAGAGATGAGATCATCGAGTCGATGCTGAAGTTCACCCGTCTGGCGCATAGCATGATCCTGAATAACTATCAGGGCTACCTGTCACACGAGGGCGACCGGTTTGATCCACTCAACTTTGGGCTAGCCCGGGCTCACGAACTTTCCACCACGCTTCAGTGGCTCTACGAGAACGCAGCCGATGAGAACCGATCGGTTATCTGGGATACCATGGACTTGATGTGGACAGGGGCTGAGATCGGTGGTCGTGACTGGTCCAAATTCTTTGTTCCAGGTGCATTTCCTACCTCAGCGTCTATTAAACCTCAGCCCAATTTCCAGCATGGAATCAACGTGGCTCAAGGTTAGCATAGATAGTTCCTTACACACACACACACACACACACACACACACACTGTCCTCATTGTCATACTAACAAACACTGGCCTAGGGCTGCGGTATATGGCGCAGAAGTACCGGATGAACCACGATGAGAAGCTCGCCCGCCAAACCCGGGAGGCTGTAGACATGGCCTTTCACCACCATGGCACCCCGTCTGGCTCTATAACAAGCGATGAATTCCTTGGAGGGTTGAGCCCAGAGCGAGGTACCGAGTTGTGCATGGCTGTGGAGCTAATGTTTTCCCTCTCCTGGCTGCATCGTCTCTTCGGTGACAACGACTACGCCGATCTCACAGAGCAGGCGGCTTTCAATGCCCTACCAGGGGGTATTTCGCCAGACTGGTGGACCCATCAGTATGTCACTCAGTCCAATCAACCATGGATCAAGCGACTGGACGGTCGGCCCTTCTATGATGTGAGCCCGTACGGCAATATCTTCGGGCTGGAGCCAGACTACGTATGTGGCGCCCTGCACTTTTCTTGATATGATCGAATGTAGACATACTGACTGTCGGAGATAATGTAGCCGTGCTGCTTGGTAAATCATCACCAAGGTCTCCCAAAGCTGGTCTGCTCTGCCTTTGTCCGTAAAGGCAGTAACGGCCTGATCCATCGCTTTCTCATCCCTGCGGAGACCTCCATGCAGCTTGATGGAGGCCACGTCTCCGTCACAGTCGATACTCACTATCCATTTGACCAGATAATACGTTACAGGTTCACTACTACCAAGAGCTTTGATTTCTATACTCGGCTTCCCGGCTGGGCGACAGCATCCTCACACGCCAACCTGCCAGACGGACGTGAAATCCCTCTGGGGCGCGACCACGGCGATGTCGTCCATTTCACAATTCCGGCTGGGTCGTCACAACTCATTGTCACGCTTGGTACTGAAGTTCGGGTCGTCCACCGGCCACTATCATCTGCTGTCTCCATCTACTGGGGCTCGTTGCTCTACGCCCTCGACATCGCCTACACCGAGACCAGCACGGCAGCTACTCACTGGAAAAAGAACGTGGATCCGTTGCCAACGGATCCCACATATCCCCAACTTCGCGATCGTAGGCTCGTTCCCGAGGAGGGAGCCGAGTGGCGCGTGGCTATTGATCCCTCTCAGATGGCCATCCACTGGGCGAGTCACGACACGGACCCGGCAAGTCCACTCCCTAGCCCGATCTACGAGCGAGGTGCCCCGCCGATGGTTATCTTGGTCGCGGCGATCCGCATTGTGTGGCCGGTGGTGAACGGGGCTGCGCATGGAGTCCCAACAGAGATTACTACCGAGAGTGAGCCGTTTGTAGCGAGGTTTGTCCCCTTTGCCAGCGCTCCTCTTCACATGGCAGAGGTGCCTACAGTCTCTCTGCCCAAGTTGGATCTCCCCGGGTATTCACCGTGAGAAACAAGGCGACGCTTGTTCGTATAGCTACATGAGATGTAGTCAGCTCTGAATCTATTCCACTACCTTTTTTTTTTTCCTCAAAGAGAAGAAATAGCAATATGTGCTTGTCCACAGTTAGGAATTCTATCAGATAACATAAAACCATGACTCCGAGCATCTATGCGACACATGTCTAAATCTAGGCGGACACCGTCAAAGCAACGGCATATCCCGGCACGACCGGAGGCTGGATAGCGTCTTCAGATCGATCCTTGGCCTTCCGGTCTGCCCACCGAGCGACCGCCGCGGCCACCGAGTCTGCTCCCTGCGAGACGCTCAAATCAATCGGAGCCAATCCGGTTCCCATCTGGCGCATCTGGATGCACGCGGCAACGGCAGCCAATCCAAAATCATATTGGTTGATCTGAGGCACCAGTGCGCCGGAGACCTTACCCTGGAGGATGTCCCGGCAGAGGAATGGCTCCTGGCACAATGGACGAGCGAGACCCACGCCGTCTAACGTCTCTAGGCCCTTGAGCATTCCCTCGGCGGAGCGGAAGCCACCGGTCAAATACGACTTGGTCTTGGAGAGGGAGGAAACAATCATCTGTGCGAAATCCAGGAAAAACTGTTCCCCCAAGTACCGGTCAACATGCTGTGCGGTGTGGAATATAGATAGATGGCTGACGTGAACTTACGGCTTCCCGACGTTTCGTCGAATCCCGCTTGCCTTCGTCGTGCATCTTCCAGTTTTCGTAGGTGCCGCCAGACAGCTCCACGAAGTCAAAGCGGTGGTCCTCGAGCGTGCGGCACAGCTCCTGGGCTTCCTCGGGCTGGAAGCCGTTGGGCTGAAACTCCACGCTGTTCACCTTGACCCCGATAATGAATCCCGGGTGGACTCGCTTCGCAATCTCGTCGCGGATCTCGAGGATCAGTCGCATCCGGTTGGCAAGCGTACCGCCGTAGCGATCGGTGCGCTTGTTTGTTGTCTCCGACAGAAATTGGCTCAGAAGGTAGCCATGGGCCGCATGGAGCTGGATGCCGTCAAAGCCCGCCTTGTCCAGGAACTCGGCGGCATGGGCGAAGCCCTCGATGACCTGGCGGATGTCGTCGTCGTTGGCGGCGCGAGGGACGCCATACGTATTGCCCAGGACCTCACCCGCTAACTGGATTTCACTGGCGCTGATGGGATGTGGCTGCAGGTGAGAAGGGGTTTGTCGCCCGGGGTGGCTCACTTGAGCCACGATCAATGAACCCTTCGCGGTGGCTCCGGCAGCCAGCTTTTGGTATTGCTCAAACCGTTCCCCCTCGAAGGGCGAATCTGCAGGGATGACCAGGTTGCCTTCCGTCTCGAGCTGTTGCGGATGAATCATGACATTGCCCGTCAAGATCAGGCCGATCTCTCCTTGGCCCCAGGTGGAATAGGTTTCCACCAACGTTTGGGAAGGAATGCCACGCGCCGACAGGTTGTCCTCTGACCATGAAGACAAGCACTCGCTCATAGCACCCTTGAGGAAACGGTTACGAGCAGTCCGGCCGGAGAAGGGGAACTCCAGGGGTCGGCCCAATGGCGAGGCATCAACTGGTTGTCCTGCACGCGACATGATGAATCCCTCCTGCACGGAGAAAACGATGGATACTAAAAAGGATGATATATATAATGCGATAGTTCTAGTGTTAGATATTTTTAAATAGTAGAGTAGGTTAGCCTCTCATTTATACCTTTGGATGGCCTTTTCTCTCGATTGTATTATTTGTATATGAAGTATAGTTCATGGGCGATTTAGGGCTGGCTCGGAATAAGCCATAGGGCGCAGGAATTCCTCGGGAAGTTGAAACTCTCCGTCACATCAAATGAAGGCCGGAAGGGCGCACATCGGGTGGCGATTGTTAACCAACGATGCCCCGAGCCCGAAAGGATGAAGATAAAAAAAAAGAAGAAGAAGAAGAAGAAGAGAGAGTGTGTGAAGAAGAAACAGTCAGAATGAATTTTCTTTTGCACGGTGAAAATACAACGGTGGTGGGATGCTTTCCAGCTAATTGATACTTGATCTACTACATCTCTCCGTCGCCTCAGTCTACGTGAACCAATATCGAAGATGGACTTGCCCACTTTGCAGACTAGTAACCACTCAGTTCGAGATCATTCTACTCAGTCGACATGCTCACCCGGGTTGAATCGGTGTTGGTCCTTGAATGATGGGTATGCGTGCTGTCTAGCGGAAAAGAACGATCCGTCGAGGACGCCGACGGGTGACGCCTAGGATTTCATAGTAGACTGGGAGGAAAATGAGCCTGCTAATCCACGGAATTTCAACGTGGTCCGCAAATGGCTGATAGCCATTCTAGTCTCCATGGGCTCATTGTGTGTGTATGTGTCTCCGCAGCCAAAAGTTGAGTTGCTACTCACCAGAGACAGCACCTGCACCTCGTCGATCTACACGACCACGTATGCGCAGATCACTGAACGATTTAGATGCTCACAAATCGTGGCTACGCTTGGTCTATCCTTCTTTATATGGGGACTTGGTAAGCCCGGCTTCATTTTCGTTTCTTACGGGCCGCGTATTCGACAAAAGAGCCGGTTTGCGACTTCCAAGGGCTGAACCGAACGCATGCAATCTTGACATGGAAGGTGATGTAAAGTAGACGAAGAATTAGAAGATACAGTTCTCTCCTGAAGTGGTGGTTTCATGGCGAAGTAGCCACCAGCCACTAGCCACCAGCTATAGTAAAAAAAATGATATATCTGCAGCATGTACCCCCTTCGTAATCTCTTCCGGAAACCTTCGACTCCTGCCAGGACTTGGGCAGCGAGGGTCCGAGCTCCGAGCCAGTCTTGATGTCATGGGTGACGATGGGCCCTACCCTAGAGAGAGAGCGAGCGAGCGAGAGAGAGAGAGGGAGCATATGGGAGACGATTGTGCCCTAGGGCGTGGGAATGTTCCCGCTCCATGCACTTCTCATTCTATACTTAGGGTCGGACCCCGTCTTCCTTCTCCCAGTTTCATAGTATTATTCAGCAGAAGTGTTGCATGTCGTCTACGGTTGGCATATATAAAGTGAGCGCCCCCCGGCGCAAAAGAATAGAGGGCGCATGCATTTATTTATTCCCACCCTCACAACCCGCGCCGTGAAGTACTACTAGTACTAGTAGAAACATGTCATCGTAAGTCTTGATGCAGCCCCCACGAACAGGGATATCAAAAGTACTAATACCGCATTTCCTCCATCCCAGTGCCCAAGAGAAATACATCGCCCTCACCCAGACAGCGGGACCAGTCGAGCCCTCAACGCTCGAAGCGCTCTTCGACCAACTGCAACCGATCAAACCGGGCCAGCTCCTCGGCGAGTGGAACGGCGGGTTCTTTGACACCGGCCATCCCGTGGCAGACACTCTCCGGGAGATCCAATGGGTCGGGAAATCGTTCAAGACGACCGAGTTCGTCGACCCTGTCATTGTCGAACAGGATGGACAAAGAGCCAGCTGGGGGCAGTGGGGACTCGCCAGTGTACGTTATGTCGGTTGGCACCCAACCCAACCCAATCCAACCCCTTTATACCCTACAGAGAACTGACGGAAGATCCATGGGGATGTTCTAGCTGCGGGAGATGGTGTTCCGGGGCGTAGTGTCCACCGCCATGATCTATGATGATCGGCCTGTCATTGATCATTTTCGCTATGTGGATGACCACTTGGTGGCTGGCGTTATGGAGGGCAGGGCGTTGGGCGATGCGGGTGTCTTTTATTTCTACTTGAGGAGATAGTTATGGAATTGTAATTGATTTTCTTTTGGTGGTTTTTCGTTGAACCTGTTATCATCTCTGGTGTTCTAGAGTACTACTAGGTCAATCCGATCGAGATCGTCTCGTCCTACAATGGCAACTTTGATATCACCATGTACGGGGGCAGTGATTCTAGTATCGGCAGTGAACCCTCCGGCCAGTATGTCACAGAAACTGGCCAACCTCTCTATGCACTGTAAAACCGAAAGTTGATGTATCTCCACACATCAGGAGTCCACCCTGGGTGGATCCGAACCTAATTCCGTTGCGAAGGATAATCCCGAGAGCTAATTCCGAGATTCAGTATCCCAACCGTCGTTATAATTGGAGATCAACAAACAAGAACATGTTTTGAACAGGATTACAAATCTTTTGTTCTTGCTGACTATTACGCAGACCGCTCCATAGGAGAATCTTGAAATGCTTCTAGGAGTTAGGAAAGAAAAATGATTACCAAGATATAACAGTACCCTAAAGTGGGCCTTGCCACAAGTTGCTGGTTACTATAGCACAGGGATAGAAGGGGGGGGGGGGGAAAGAGTATATAAAGGACAGACCACAACGCCGCTTGTCTCGTCTTCTACCGCAAAATCGATCAATTGCTTCTGTGCTTCTTCCCCCAGATCACCAACGTTTCCCCCTTGACTCGACAACAACAACAACAACAACAATGACGAATTGGCCAGACATCCCCTGCAAGCCCGCCGAGGGTATCCCGTTCTTCACACCGGCGCAATCCCCCCCAGCTGGCACCGCGCGCGATCCCCAGACCAGTGGAAAGCCCATCCCCAAACTGTTCCGGCCGTTGACCATCCGGGGCCAAACCTTCCAGAACCGACTAGGTCTCGCGCCCATGTGTCAATACAGTGCCGACGACGGGCATATGACTCCCTGGCACTTGACGCATTATGGCGGGATTGCGCAACGCGGCCCGGGCCTGATGATCATCGAAGCCACGGCCGTGGTGCCGGAAGGCCGGATCACACCTGGGTGCGTGGGTCTGTGGAGGGACTCGCAGAAGGCGATGCTACAACAGGTGGTGGAGTTCGCCCACAGCCAAGGGCAGAAGATCGGGATTCAACTGGCGCACGCCGGGCGCAAGGCGTCCACCGTCGCGCCCTGGCTGGGGGGTGTCACTGCGACGAATGCAGTAGGCGGGTGGGTCGAGCATGTCAAGGCGCCGAGTGCAATCCCCTTCGCGGAGGGGGATATCGTCCCCCAGGCGATGACCTTGGAAGACATCCAGGAGCTCAAGGACGCCTGGGTCGCCGCTGTCAGACGGGCTGTCTCGGTAGGAGTTGATTTTATCGAGATCCACAACGCCCACGGATACCTGCTGTCTTCGTTCCTGAGCCCGTCCTCGAACCAGCGCTCTGATCGGTATGGAGGGTCTTTCGAGAATAGGATCCGTCTGTCGTTGGAAATTGCCCAGTTGACCCGTGAGACGGTGGGAGACCAGATGCCGGTGTTCCTGCGGGTCTCTGCGACGGACTGGCTGGAGCATCGGCCGGGCGAGCAGGGCTGGAGCGTGGAGGACACGGTGGAATTTGCCCGCGCTGGCAGCGCAGGGCTGTATTGACCTGATTGATATCAGCAGTGGTGGTGTGCATAGTGGACAGAAGATCACTGCCGGGCCAGCCTTCCAGGCGCCCTTTGCGGCGGCTGTCAAGCGGGCCGTGGGAGACCGGATGCTCGTGGCGGCCGTGGGCATGATCAACCACGGACAGTTGGCGGAGAAGCTGTTGCAGGAGCACAACCTGGATGTGATCTTGGTCGGCCGGGCATTCCAGCGGGATACGGGTTTATCGTGGCATTTTGCTAAAGACCTGGACGTGGAGATTGCCATGGCCGCTCAGATCCGATGGGGATTCACCAGCTTCCGCAATGCGTCGGAATATATCCAGCCCAACTCGATGAAAGCGTCTATCTTTGACTAAGCGTGGCTTTATTGTGTTGCGTACTTTGTATTATAGGAATATACAGTGGCTATCTGTCCTCTTTGTCGAGATATGATCCTAGAAGGTCGGCTAATTCTCAAGCATCGATCGTGTCTTCCCTTGTTTACGAGATCTGACTAAATGAAAATACATTGCAATATTGAATCCTGCAAAGAGCGTCTACCCATTGACTGCAGTAAAGAGTAGTTCTCTTTTCTTACACACCAAAAAGGATGATTCTCGTCGACGTAGAAGAACGTATAACTCCATATTGAATGGGAGGAAGGAAAGAGACGACCACTAATTGGCCACCTTGGAAGGAAATTAAAGACCACCGTTGGCTAATTAGTAACGAAAGGACAGACACAAGCAGTCTAGTACCATCACTTCGTCCTCCTACCAGAACGGCTACTCAAAGCAAGCTAGACACCAGATAGCTTAAATGGTACGATGCTCAATCATGGAGTTAACGGCATCAATGACGCTAGTCTCGAGGTCGATATAGTTCCATCTACCCTCCTCAGTGCCCTGGGCGAGAATATCCACACTTGTCCGCATATCCCATCCCGTGGGATGGACCCCTGGGGGCAAGCTCTGGGAGGGATTCCCCTCGGGCACCCGATCCCTGAGGGCAGGGAAGTTCTTCCGAATGACATCGACGACCAATTGCGGCGCGATTAGGCCTGAAATGAGAAGAATGCGCTGACCGGCAGCTGCAGTGTTGGTTAGCGCATCTACATGGCTCCGAGCTACGTCGCGGACGTCCACCTAGGGGGAAAGTACGTGAGCCAGAGATCTTTTCGGCAATAATTTGCGCTGGGCTCAAGACACAGGTAACGGAAGAGGAAGACACACGAAGTGGTAGAAGGGGAACGTCACGTCTTCGATCTTTGGATGGGTTCCATCGATGAAGCTCCGAATGGCGAACTGGTTGGTCTCATTGACCGATCTGGGCTCGGAAATAGGATGGATCATGGGCCCTGTGATGATATCCGGGTTGATCACCACCAGGTCGAAAGCTGGGGAGGTTTGCTTCATGAATTCCCACGCCGCGGCTTCCGCCCGGGTCTTGGAGACATTATAGCCCAGAACGGGGTCATTCCGTTCGATGGCTTGTTCCGCCGTTACCTAGATCCGTGTGAGATGTTTCCCTTACCCTAGAGTCACGGGGGGCTGGGAGCACTCCTACAGGATTCCAGTCTTTCTCGGTATATGGCTTCCCTTCCCTGGACATGTCCTCAAAGGAATTTAGGACGGAGACTGCACTCCCTAGCAGGATGAATCGTTTCAGGGAAGCGCCACCATAATGGCTGGCCGCTTTCAAGATCTCCGTGGTTCTGCCGGTGTGAGCTCTCATCTTCGCAAAGGAGAGTCTGAAGCTGTTGGGGCTAGGCTAGGCAAACTTACCCCATCACTGCTGGCTCGATCATCTCTTTCTGAATGTCCGATACCTGGAACCTGAGGGGAGAGGCGGTATGAATGGCATAGTTGAAGGGGTTTTTTGCGTTCTGGAAAAGATTGTCAAACGGCTGTGTGGAAGTGAAATCCGCCACGATGGTAAATTCCACGCGGCCCTTCCACGAAGGATGAGTCCTGAGGATATCGTTGGCTTTCTCTTGCGACCGAACGGTGGCCGTGACGGCGTATCTGCGCTGGCTGCAGGTGAGTAAACTGGATAGATCTGGAGAACTGCAGTCCAGGGTTCTTGACATACCTGGATTAAGATCTCTAGGATGTGGGAGCTACAAAGCCGTTCGCCCCCATCAGAAGAACATGTTGGCCTGCTCCGGTTGTCGCCATTGTGTAAGAAGCGCGATGAGAAGTATTCGGTTGAACTGTTTTATGGACAAGCGGGTCATACAACCTTGACAGCTTCGAGATATCCTCCCCGTCCCAATGTTATATAGTTTGGTTAAGCCCGGGAGTTTTCCAAACTCATGACGTCAAGGCCATAGAATCTTACAGGTTAGGTGGAATTAACATAGCTAGGTGAGATACAACTGACTACCTCCTAATTCCTGAACGAGGTGTTAGGGCGTAGGGCGTAAGGAGGTTGGCCAAGACATGACAAGATGGCCGCCTCAACCTATTTCATCCTCCTACATACAAGTGACAAGCCGGCGCTACGCTACTAATAATCTCGGTTCAATTGATCTACTGGGGGCAAAACTCCTTCTTGCTCTAGGAGTCGAAACGTCTCTTCCAACTCGTCTCATGTGTCCGCATACCCCGTCCATCCGAGCTTCCTGGCTTTGCTCATACTCGCTACGCAGCTCCAATTGCGACCCATCGTCAGCACCAAGAAATCCCAGGTCGCCTTTTCCTAGGCATTCTGATCAAGACAATACTTGTCGCGCAGCCTTGCCCACGCTTCATTGACATCCGCTCGTTGCGCCCATCTGATGGGGTCTACCTGGAGAAACAAGGTCGATGGTTGGTCCACAACCGGGTCTGAAGAAAGCCCCAGGGTGGACGCCTGAATCTTGAGGGGCGGCTTATTGTGCAGGGGAATGGTTGTCGATTCATACTTCTTATAACCCGCCGAATGGGACACGCCCCCATTCGGGAACAGGGGGTCGGGGACTTTGCATCCGAATCGTTGTGCTAGCCGGGGCCACAAGTTTTGGAACGATTCGGTATCGCCGTTCATCACGTTGAAAATCTGGTTCCCTGCTCCGAGGGCTGAAGTAGCCCAGAGACAGAACCTCGCATGCAGGTTCGCGGAGGTCCAGCAGTTGAACGTGAAATAGTTGGCCTTGCTACCCGGATACGGCAGCTCAGACCCTGGCAGCGCCTTGCTCACTGCGCAGTAGAGTCCGATCGAGGTAGTCTCGTTCATGAAGTTCCCTCGAGCATAGCCGAGAACATCCTCGGGGAGCGTGATTACCCACTCCCACTGCCCTTGCGCCAATGCGCTGCTGCTCGTAGTAGAAAATCGGTGGCCAAGACGCGTTGCCATCGCCTTTGAGGAGGGGATCATCTTCTAAAAACCGTTGCTTGCCCGGCCCAAGATGGACGCCGTACTGCTTAAACCCGCACGTCAAGATAAATCGCTTCAACCTCTTATCTGCCCCGGATATCGCCAGTGCCTTAAGGAAGTTGGACAGGAGCGTACTGTTCACCCGGGACAGTTCGTCTGGGTCTTCTTTGGCTAGGTATGCACAGAAGAAAATGTAGTCCGCTGAGATACCATGCAGACTGTGGGCCATGTCTTCCGCGGAGCTCTGAAGGTTGAGACTGACATGCTGGATCTTTTGGTGCTCGACGCCCGGGCTACTGCGTGAAAAAGAGTAGATTTTCTCGTAAGAAGAATCCTTGAGGAGGTGGTGGACAATAGCACTCCCGGTGATACCTAACGGGCTGGTCAATACTACGAAGAGGAGGAGGAGGAGGAGGAGGAGGAGAGAGAGAGAGAGGGCAATATACCAGTGGCACCAGTCACGATAGCAGTTGGCATGATGGATGAACTCGGTCCTGGTTAAGGAGTATAACTACGGGTTGCCCGTCTCTCCATGGGAACAGCCACCAGCAGGCGCCCGCACTTTATAGACTTCCCCTACATAAAGGTTACATGCGATGGACAGACCAGTAACCGGATTGGTGTCGTGAAGACCCTACTGATATCAGATCAGCATTGACGTAGCCTCCAAAGATGCCTGTGGGTTCCTGGCTCGGAAATCTTGTCCAGGGTCAACCCATGGAACTCAACCATGGATTATACGGAATTAGAGAAACCCCCCCACTCTTTCTTGGCTTTCTTATAGCTTGCTACAGGAGTTTTCGTAGTCGAGCAAGGAGCTGGACCCATGTCATGATTTGTCCATGACGGGCACGACACATCACAGTGTGGCCATTCTGTGCTTCGGGATAAACTAGTAACAAGACTAGTAGCCATAAAAATTCCCCTACGCCACGACAGGAAGTGGGTTGCAAGGGATAAATCAAGGCTAAGATTAATTTCTGAATTTCCCTCAAAGTTCTGTGGCTCTTGACAACGGTCTGCGACTGTTTGGCCCTTTGTCCTTCGACTTGGAATTCCTTGCTCTACTCGAATTGTCTTTATTTTCCGTTATCTTCATAGCCTTCTTCTCTACTCCCCTTCGTTTATCGCTTGCTCGAACATATAATGGCCGATGACGATCCATTCCCCCGGCCGTTTGCACTGTGGTTAACAAACGCCTATGGCCAGCAGGCTAAGGACAGGGGAGGGTAGTAGAGATTTCTCACCAGCACGAGGCCGAACTTCGCCCTGACGCTAACGTACGCAAACAGCCCACCAGCGACGAGCTCCCTCTTGCCTACAGATAATACCGCCAGTTGGAAAGCAGGGGACGCTCAACTACCCCAGTGCGCAACCGCGAACCTCATCGACCGATCTATGCTCCCTTCGGGGCTTCACCCAGGGCAAGGAACAACGCCACAACCCTATCAGTATTTCTCAGGATGGGATAATATTCTTCGGCAAACACGGAGCATCAATGCGTATGGTGATGAAGCTACACAAGCCGGGGGGAGATACAGCCCACATGCCGGCACAAGCCAACCAGCCAAACGACCATATCACGAATCGGCGGTCGATTCGCCATTCGATGGTATGGACACATCCCCCCATATTGAAGCACAAATGGCTTACGGCGAAAGCACCGTGGACCGGCCATCTCACGGCGGTTCAAGACAACGGAAACCTCAGACACGGTCCTCTCATCCGCGACGGCAGAGTCCTTGCCTACGCCAGGGTGCCGCGCAAGAAGTCACCGCAGCTTTAACCCCTGATTCGGAGCACATCATAGATTCTTTGGGAGGAAGAAGAAGAAGAAGCCCAGATGAAGAACCAGATCTCATGATCGATGGCCTCAACGCATCTCGGCACGCAGACGCCGGACACACTTCTGTAGAAGAGACAAGCAACGCGAGGAGATGCAAGCGCCTTCAGCGGACCACGTGTAACTGTGCTTCAACGTGTAGCAACTCGCAGGCCCTAGATTGCAACAGACAACCCGATCGTTCCGCCAGGTTTGACAAGTTCCATACAAAGACTCAACGCAGGGTCAGGCGGAAAGATAGCAAGCGAGATGAGAAGTCCACAGACCAGAAACGGCGGTCCTTTTACTGCACCTTTTGCGGCGATGCTTTCAAATACAAGTATGACTGGGTCCGCCACGAGAATTCCCTACACCTTGATCGCGAAACCTGGATCTGTGAGCCTAAAGACGGCTCAGTCGTCTCGCCGGTAACGGGCAAACGACAGTGTGTCTACTGCAGCGACCCAGAACCGACCGCTGAGCATCTCGAAGAACATAACCATTCTACGTGCGCTGGAGCGGTGCGCAGCTTTGCCCGGAAGGATCATCTGGTACAGCACCTGCGCCTCGTGCATCGAGTAAACGAGATCCCAGCCATCGACGGGTGGCGGAAAGAGGCGCCGCCGTTCGTGTGCCAATGCGGGTTTTGCGACCGCCAGTTGAATAGCTGGACGGAACGAGTAGACCATCTTGCGGATCACTTTCGCAAGGGCTGCACGATGCGCGAGTGGCAGAGAGGGCATGGACTGCCTCAGGAGATTGCGGAACAGGTCCGGAATATGATGCCTCCGTATCATACCGGAGAGGAGACAGCTACAACTTGCCTGGTCTCCTTGGAAGGCCGCCGCGTGAACGAAGGTATTCAACAGGGTAGCATGAGCACGAAGCGGCCAGACCAGGTGGGAAGCGATGATGAAGCCGGGACCACTGGTCTGCCGGATATTCTGTCTCGAGACATGTCTCTCTATGGGTTTTCGAACCACCTTGCCTTACACCTCAGCCGATTTGCCCGGATCCAGGTCCAGCAAGGTGTCGTGCCTACGGACGAGATGTTTCAGCAGGAATCGCGACGGCTTCTCATGGACTACGAGAATGGAGCACCAATGTAACTGTACCCCAGCGTTTATACATAACATACTAATTTACTGCCTGGATTTTCTGAATTCTAATCAGCTTGTGATTTCATAGTGGAATTAAATGAATGAAATTCTTTACCTTTGAATCTGAATTGAATGCGTATGCTCGAAGGAATTAGGGCCGTGTCCTTGCAGATCCGGAATTAGCTGACTCCACTGCACCGGAATTAGAAAATGTTTGCCTCCACTCAGGTATAACATAAAGAATCCCCGAGAACTTGTACAGGCGTTGACATTCTTCCTTTGCCGGAGTGATCAACCTTGCTACGTGGTACCCACTGACAAAGTCACAACAAAGAGATAGGAATCAATAGGAAATAGAACATATTGTATAAAGGGAACCCTAGAACAGACTCTCAGGGATATTTTGCGGGTCAAACCCGTTCTCAACCCAGTAGGACCTATAATTCGTGCAGGGCGTGCTACTGACTAACCCCATTTCAGTTGCATTTGGCACGAACACGCCAGAGTTCGCTGTAGTTGCCGGTGGGTAAGAAGACGCTAGTGGTACTGGATCATATGGGTCCTGGACGTCGCTGTTCCAATAGCGCTCCGGTCAGTATCTCATGAGCAATCCACTTGACGGAGTCCGGAAGGCAGAGTAAACTTACAGCAACCATGGGAAGGAGTCAAATATATTCGAGTCGGTGCCAAAGGAATTACCCATAGAAACCAAGGCATCCTTAGCCATCTTCATGATATCGGTACTAATTAATTTGCCCGTCAACGGTCCCACATGCTGAATCTCATCCAGGCACTGGATGCCGCGCTCAACGGTAGCGAACGTGGCCTTCGCATGTTCCTGTGTGGTACGGGGATCGAGCACCTCATAAAGAAGCGTGATACAAGCAGAGGCCAAGAAGGTGGCCATGGTGCCATCCGACCGGATGTCAGGAAAACGTCGAAAATAGACGTCGTGTGCTAAATCGATCAGGCTCCGCGCCGCGTTAATAGAGGCCTCAATGGATTCCTTAATCTTCAGAGGCCCCGTGGCATTGTTTTCAGCCTCGGCGGTGGAATTGAAGAATGTTGCATACATTAGGCTGGGTCGATGCATGAGCATGCAGGTAAGGTAATAGATCAACCCAAGACTGACCCGCTGCACCTCTTGCCAGCTTTCCCCGATGGGCAGACTGTGATCATAGAAGTGCAGGTACGGGGGGAGCGACTGCGCAATGGATTTCAGCCTAGTATCGCATTCGATGACAAGCTGCTCTGACTTTTCCACGTCAGAGATGTCCCGCATACAGTTGGGGGAGTAGGTGGCGATCGAGACTTTATCCGCGACTCGGCCGATTTTGGCCGCAGCCCTAATCCAAGCGCACTCCACGGTCGGTCTGATATATTCCAGACAGTCAGAGTCAATGCCAGTTACATTCTGCAGGAAGATATCCTCCGGACAAGCTGTATCGACCTGGTCCTCGCATAGACTTGAGGGGCGACCAATAAAAAGAGCCGATATCTTCTCGTTGGCAAAGATTGTCCAGAACGTGATTCGGAGTCTATGCATGCTCAGATTGTTTCCATCTGTCACCTGGGACCGATTGATGCCCAGTGCCAGTACGTTGCGAGCCGCATATCCGAAATAGAGATACGCCTCGTTTGGCCTCATCACTTGGAGCGCATACATGGCCTGCGAGGTGCACGATTAGCGTTATTTCGAAGGCAAGCCACAGCCAGGTTCCCAGTCCCAAACCTTTAGAAGCATGAAGTGAGTACCTTTCAGGCTGGGCTCCTGAAAATACATGGCAAAGTTATTCGCCTTGTTAGAGAAATGCTCGGCCCAGAGATCCACCCACTCGGCGGTCTGTTTGCCTTTGTAATTTGATATACGAGAGCCGATGGCAAGGACCATGTACAGTAGATCCCGGTCTTTCAACACTTTACCGGGTTGGGGTGGCTCCCAGAGTTTGTTCCAGGTCTCCATAATCTCTGAGTATGCCAGTAGTGGCATCTGAGGATGCATGATGCGAAAATAGGCCTCTATGAATAGAATTCCCATGTCCCGTGGGAAGTAAGCGTCCGCCTGCAGCGGCGGGTTACCCCCATTGACATATTCGCGCGAAAACATGAACTTCTCCAAGCCCCATTTCTCCAGAGCTTCCGGAACAGTCGAGTCCCTCTGTGGCAACTCCGTGGGTTGGAAGTTCCTCTTCACTCGTTCGTAGATCCTTTGAATGAAGCAGAAATGTGATGATGGGCCTGGATACATCAGTGGACCCCACAAGCAGGGAAGCCAGCGGAGTAGGTATCATTCGAGCTTACCATAGAATTGGAAAGACCCCGTGGCCTGGTTGGAGACTCCAATTCCGACACGCAATGCCTGGTGCAGCTTGAATTGAACAAGATCGCTGAATACTTGTGGCTGCGGCGCCACCGGGTCCGTCGGTGCCGCAATTTGCTCGGCTTCTAATATCGAGCCTGGGTTGACTTCCAGGTCTTTAGGGCTGTCTGCTCGCACACGGCCGCGTTTCTTCCTCGCCCCTCCAGCCCGATATTGACACTGCCGTTGGTGCTGCTCACATTTATGGCAAGGGTGGCGCCCATTACATCTGATCTTCCGCGACCGACAAGGCTCACAGGCTCGGTTGATGTGGATGCGAGTATGTTGTTGATCCCGGACTGATCTATTGCCATCGATTGTACTTGCGTCCAGCTGCTGCACCATCTTAGCAGTAGTAGTCGTAGTCGTCGTCGTCGTCGTAGTAGTCGCCACTAGCTAGTATGAATAGTTCAAGAAGGACTTGGCAATTGTTCCCAGGGGCCGTGGAAAAGGTGAATTTCCGGTGCCAAGCCAACGCCTACAGTAACAATAAATAATAAATAACCTCTCTTCTACGCAATATGATATGGTCAGTCAGATACATCTAGCCAATATTTTAGTGTCTTAGAGGCGCTTATTGCCGTCCTAAGCGTATTTCAATCATAATAGATAGAGGGGTTAGCAGTCCATTTTCTGTTGCATTGATTAAGGGAAGTTTGGACGTCCGGGTTAGGGCCAGAGGGATTACCCTCCTTCATTGCGTGTAGAATATCCAGTACTAACCGATCAAGTAGGGTAACGTTGCAGAAGAACTGGGGTTCAAGGCGAGTTTTATACCGGTAGGATATCCCGAACCATAGGTGAAGGATCCTGTTTGTAGATGGTCATTACTGACATCCGGGTATTTCGAAGCATGGCCGGCGAGCTCTTGCGAGATAATGATTTCCGCATGTCTCGCATTCCTCCTAGCATCAGTAAGAGTCGTACTGAGATTTCCAGTGGTGAAACGAAGGTTCGTTTAGATAAAAGCAATAAAATGGATCTCATGATTGTTGTAGCTCTAACATACGTCCTGGCGCCGGGCCTGCCAACATATGGATACCAAGACATCCAAATGTGATCTTCACAGAAACGAAAATAAACCAATGCAAACAAAACAAATACCAAATCAAGTTTTCGTATCCTTTTACTTCGCCTGTTCACAGGCGAACAATCTCAGGAGATGATCCGCAAAAACAAGTCTGCTCTGCCATATAACCGAAATCGTAAACGCCGCCCTTTGCAAGTGTGAGTGATAAATGGGAGCAAAAGCAAAACGTATACATCGCTGCGCCCGGATAGTCAAAAAAGAAAGACACCGAAAGGTCATCCCATGGAGGAAGTAGGCTTTAGTAGCCGTAGTACACAGACACAGGCCGATGAATGTCGGAGAACAGAAAAATCAAACGAGTGTTCAAGCAAGCAAAACAAGTAAAAGAAAAAGACCCACAAAAAGTTCTAAGCTCCCGTACTCCAGATTATAATGTAAGAAACTGTTGCTTCGGATACAAATCTTTCATGCGTTATCGTCGTGAAATGAGCCCCAGAGCTATGCAACGGAGGCTCAAACGGTCTAATCGGTCATGCACCGAGAACGCAGTACGGTCACCGTAGCATTCATCGGTTGACGAACTACATATCTCCGTCATGATGAAGAGTCACACTGTTGAACTCTTCAAATGGGTCGTTCACTTCCCCATTGGGCGTGGCAAGACCCGAATCCATGGGGACACCCTTCATCTTGGTAGGGTTGCTACCGCCAATATCAACGCTGGCACTTTCTTTGACATTGCGGAAATTCAGAGTATCCGTTCCTCGGCTTTGATGAGGAATCATCGGTGGCTTCATATGGCGAATAAGGGCCCATTGTGTTTGCCGAAAGAACGGGTGGGTTTTGACGTCCGAAGCACCTGCACGAGCTCCAAGACGCTTCGTCTCATCTTTAATCAACAGCTTACGGATCAAAGACTTACACATACTATAGCCATATTGTTAGCGTATGCCACATGAACGTGAAAATTAGAAAGAGTCTCACTTGGAAATTTGTTGGGCCCCTCCGTGTTCAGGAAATGGGACGTCATCTCGTAGGATGTTTCCAAACGTTGCGTTCCTGTTCTTACCCTTGAACGGTGTTGTGCCGTAGAGCATCTCATAGATCAGGATGCCAAGGGTCCACCAGTCAACTGCGCTGGTATGTCCGCAGCCCTTGATAACCTCCGGCGCAATGTATTCCTCCGTTCCTACAAAGGAGTTCGTCCGGAAATCAGCAATGCATGACTTGGTGTCGATGGTGGGCAGAGACGTCGTCGAGTTGCCGCTCCGCGCCGGAATCATGGTGGGCGCACCGCCAGGGCCCGATTGTTTAGACAGGTCGAAATCTGACAGCATGATATGACCAGATTGATGCAGAAGAATGTCTGAATGATCGACCGTCAGTACAAGGCTACTATCATTAGTGTACCACAGGATTACATACTCTCTGGCTTTAGATCGCGGTAGATAAAACCCATGAGATGGAGATACTCTAAAGCGGCTGTAACTTCCGCCGCATAGAATCGCGCCGCGTCTTCGGATATGCATTTCCCCGGACGTGTTTGAAGAGCTACAAAGTTTAAATTAGCGGATATTTGAGATGGAGGCCCTAGTCTATACGCACCTCGAAAAAATTCACCACCGCTACAATACTCCATACATAAGTAGAGATAATCCTCGGACTGGAAAGAGTGATAGAGCGTGACGATAAAAGGATGATTACTTGTGGCGAGGATCTCCTGTTCGGCCAGCGCCCTCTTAATTTTGTTTCGTTTGATCATTTCCTTCTTGCTCAGGACTGGTGCTGTCAGTAAGGGTATAGCAGATAGATGCCCAGAACATTTTAAATGTCCCCGGTCTGTGTAATGGAGTCATGGCAAACTCACCCTTCATAGCATATAAGCGGCTCGTCTTCTTTTCGCGAACGAGATACACCTTTCCTACATCGCCTTTGCCGATCAATTTGATCTTGTCGAAGCTACTTGGCCCAACCTCCACATTCCGAATTTTGATCGAGTTGGAGCTATACGTTCTGCGGAAGGCCACCTGGTTGCGAATCTCGCCGGGACTCGGGATCTTGCCGTCGGCACCCATTTTAGGTACGGAGAGACTCCCGACTGTATCCTCCGCGATCGTGATCTGAGAGTCGGTTTCTTCCACTGGGGGCTGGTTTCCCGTTTCAGCCGTTTGAGGGCGTCCATCATTCTCGCCCTTGGCAAATAGACCCTGTGCATTCGGGGCGGAAGCGACGCGGCGCAGCTTTCGGGCTAATTCTGTTTTGTTGGCAGTCGTGGCCTGCTCAGCAGCGGAGACCCCGTCGACCTGTAGCTCTGGAGTGTCTGGCGGAGAGGAAGGCTCCGAACCGTCATTGCGATGCTGTAAGGACGGTTGGCCCTGGTGAACGAAATACGGATTGGCTGTTGCAGTTGGAGACACTCCCTCGTCCAGCGGATTGCCTTCGCTAGCAACAGTGGTTGAGCGATTGCGACCAATCGTGGGGAGGAATCGCGATTGCCTGAAGGCCGACTTAGATTCGGTCTTGGCGCCGATGTGAGGACTGCCCTCTCTATCCCGGTCGCCACTGTGGCTATGACTGTGATGAGACGAATTGCTGCTCGAGCTATTTATGCGAAAAAAGTTCTTGATCTTTGTTGGAAGATGGCTTGACTCATTGGTATGTTTTTTGGACGGGAGCGAGAGGCTAGGGAAGCTTCCACGTTTCTCGTTCGACACATTGGACGGACTGGAGGCGAAAAGTTGGGTCATGCCGACGATTTCACTGGATGTATACCAGGGACTGGGCCGTCGGTTCACGAGGGTTGAGAATAATCCAATTTAGTGGGAGGGTAAAGAAGGGGGGGGGGTGATAGTCTGGATTGATCGATGCAAGGAAGGGGACCGAGCAACGGGCTAGAAACGGCGGGGGGAGAAGGCGGTGCTAAAGTATTGCGATCAAAAGGGACGTTCACCCGCAAACTGATAGTGACATGGGGGAAAGCCAGGTACCCGTCAAATCACCGTTCGGAGAACTAGAACTGGAGGGGGGGGGAAAGGGCACAAATTCGGTCAAAGAAAGTCAAGACGGAGGAACGAGAGACGCGGGATTAATTTAAGCTCCTCTCCTCTCCAGCTTGGGATGGGAACATTGACTGGAGAAGGGAGGGAAAGAGAAAAGAAAGAGGGAAGGGGAGGGAATACAAAGTGGAGACGTGGAGGAAAGATTGGGAATTTCGGGCTTAGTCAATCAAACCGCCATCGCCCTTTGGACGAGTGAGTTCGTACTAGTACGTAGGACTAGTAGTACTGTATTTCCAAGATAAGTCACGGGTCAAAATCATCCGCAGCCCAATTGTTTTCCGACGTCCTTCTTCTGGTCTGGGGTTTCACCATTCCGCAACCATCGGGACATGCCGAGTCGTGGCTAACGTTTCCAACTCAGCCGGCTGAGACAAAATCATACTACGCTTGGATGAATAATACCACAACACTTGCCACCATTCTTGATTCCTAGCAGGACTACCATTACTACGGCTACTACGACTGTCGTTATGCTGAATTTTTTTTTTTTTTATTTTCATGTTCTCGTTCGTCTCCTCCGCTTCCTCTCTCCTCCTGTTCTCCATCTCTCCAACCCAAAATTGCCCCAAATGACAGCCGAAGGTTGAAACATGGTTCCTCGCTTGCAAGTCATTGGCCAGTGGGAAGGAATAAACCGGGACTAGCGTGGCTGGGCGCATCATCTTGGCAATGAAATCTCTCTCCCGCATTCAAGTTCATTATCAATCTTTTTGAGTGATAAGTACTCGTTAGTTAGTTCGAACAATGTGACAAATGCCTCGTCACGCCACAGTAGATTGATATCTATACGGACGCCCCCATGCATCATATCACATTTCCCATTACAGTCCGTACCCAAACGAGAAGTTGATGTCTCAGAGCTGAATACTGTACTGTGTATGACACCCTCCAAAAGGATTCAAAGCACGGGCTCAGCCGAGACCCATGCAAAAGGACCCAGATGGAGGCTACCAATGCTTCGCCTCAGGAGACAACTAAACGAGGATGAAATAAAAATAATCTCGCGTAAATGTTAGATCCACTTTTTTTTTTTCTTTGCAACGCGAAACTGATTCACATTGTGAACCGCCCCCCTGCTTGCCCCCCTTCAAGTGTACCCACTGTTCAATTGAATCGGAATTCCGCCATGTATGCTTGTGTTCCGCCTCACTGAAACGTACCAGGAGAGGTCTGTTATGCCTCGCCTGATAGACTGGTCTCAATGTCACGGCTGCAACTGATCTAACGCAATGATCGAGATTGTGTTCACATCGGTTTTGTATCAACGATTCATAAAGGACAAAATCAGCACCAGCATAATCAACCAATCTGAATATCCTCGAGCTCCCGGGGGGATTATCTTTATAGTAGCCTTCCGACTCGAAAGACCTTCTCAGTGCATCAAGACAATGGCAATGATATTCCGACCAACTTTCAGGTAAGGTGGTAAAATCTTACGATATTGGGGCTTGAAACTGTCAAAAGTCGGTTGAGAACCAGGTTTCGTAGGCGTTTGTCATAGTCGGACTCTGAGCTTGTCGTGACCACAGAAGGAGTAGGAACTGCAGAGCAGCGAGTGCGGCACCAAGTGTCTACTACTACTACTACTACTACTACTAGTAGTAGTAGTATGTAGCCCATTTCCAGGGTGGACCCTCGAAACTGTTGACCGTGGCGGCAGCTCTTCCGTATCAATACATTCCTGATCCACTGCCAGCGGTTTACGCTTTTGACTACGAGTCGTATCGTTCTTTATGTTTCTTTGGAAGTGACATTGGTTTCCGGGTTACCAAAACGTCCGAAATGTGTTTCACTACTTGCAAATCACAGGGATAATTCGGGCTGGACATTTATCATTACAATTGCCAATAAAAGCACATCCTTGCAGGACAGGAATCCTACAAATTCATTGAGGGACTGTTGCCAGATGCACGTCCTACCTCACCTGCTACTTACATTTAGTATCGAACTAGTCGGGGGATACGCCGATCATATGTACCCTAAGTAAATAAGTGGGTCTCACGCTGGTGAATTCATGCCAAGGACCGTTACAACAACCTCTCATGAGGCCTACGGTATGATGGTCCTTTCTCACTCGCAGCCCGCCAAGTGAACCAGTTTTAGAATTGAGTGAGTGTGTACATGTCAAGTACGCAGTCCCAATGCTAGGTGGTTCTGTTCCGAGCGGCAGAGCCCAGTCTATGTAAGCAGTTTCAACCAGGAAACTTGATTCAGACTAAACTCGTATAGAGATATCCGCCGAGAAACAAGATAGCCCGCCTTCGGTAGTCGCCAAATGGACATGGAGCCTACCCTTCCAGAGAATTGAGGTAGCCGAAAGCCTCGAAACATAACTATCCGAGAATATCATGCACACTAGTTATTCAAACACCTTCGTTTTCAGACAAAAGCGTAAGCCCCCTCTCCTAAGGGTCGACCCAAGGTGAAAAATACAAAGGGGTTCAAAAACACTATGCATCCTAATGCTGTATCGATTACCAACCGTGCTTCCTGTATTTAAGTTAACATCGTTATCCAAAAGTCTGCCACACTCCTTGTCCAAATCGCTTACTCACTTGTGTACTCTTTCTGTTTCTTTTTTTTGTAGTGGTCAGAACAAACAGTCAGGAACTGAAAACAAAAACCAAGAATAACATGTGAAGGAATGCAAAGACCATGAAGGATAATGCAGCTGCGTCTGGGGCCATGGGGACGATTGCTTTATCGGCTATTAGATTGACCCTCGTTTTGAGAGTTGCGCATTTCACGTCGCTCTTCATCTCTAACTTGGCGAAAGAAGTCACGTAGGGTTTCCCGACTAGGCTTGGGGCGCTGCTTGGGCATATACCATGGTCGAGTCTCTTGGGGCGAGCTATAGAGTACGGTCCCCTGCATCTGCCTATCGCCGGTTTCCATTGTTCGTTGGCTTGTCTCGTTTCTAGGCGCATCCCCAGGGCCGTCAAAAGAGGGTACATAGGCCTGTACGTTGACGTTTTGAGGAACTGCCAAAGCGGCTGTTTTTTGAAACACTAAACCCCGATTTCTGCTCAAGAGGTGTGTATTCAAAGACGATATTGGCAGCTTCATATTCTGCATGTCTAGGTCTCCACGAATTTTGTGGGCACGATGTAGCGTGGTAATGTTGCTTGTCTTGATGTCTTCCCTGTCTTCTAATCGTCCCGGGACCCATCCAATATTCTGTAGAGCACCTGAAGCATGTGTCTCAGCTGACACAAGATTGTGCTTGGAAAGTGGTCGGGGGCTATTATAGCATACTGTGAGTAAGGTTTACGCATATGTTTGGGTAACTTTTACCTTTCCCAAATGGTTTCCGGATTCTTCCCATATTTAGGATCTTCCAGAGAGCCCATGCTAACTAGGCGCTTGCTGCTATTGTTAGGAATCTGAAAATGAGAGAGAGATAAGCTTTCAGAAGTACTGCTTACTTTCTTTCATGAACAGTAGCCCATGAGTCCGTTGTGGACACATAAGATGAAGAGAGCTTCCCATTTGCCTCATTGTCTGACGTAGAGGACGTGTCACTGCAGCTTTTGACAGCTTCTCGAGGATGAGCTTCGGATCCCCAGAGATGTCCTTCATGTTTCACTGGCCTGCCATTGGTGGTCATTCTCACTGAACCTGGTTTACCGCTTGGAAGTGACGGCAACCCCTGTTTACCTCGTGTTGGCCGATGAGATATTCTTCCTTCCCTTTTCTGCTTTACGAGCTGTGTAGTAATAACAGACAACTCCTTGAGTAGTCTGCCAACAGGTTCACCCCGCTCTGTGACCTCTTCGATTTTGTGATACAGGTTTTGAAGATCTAAGGGCGATGGCATCCAAGATGATGTCTGTTCATCACCGGTGCTGTCAGACCCATTGCTGAAAGTTGAGGTGTAGATTTGCCTGTCTCGTTGGTTTACGTTTAGGTTCGTTCTCAGTTCACTTTTTTGCTGAGACAAATAGGGAACTCCGAGAGTCCTGTTTGCGGAAATATCTTTAACACCTACAGCTGAGTCTGGATTCCCTAAGGTTTGCCACGGAAACACTGGGATGGAAGTTTCACTGTCTGGGCAAAACATGGGAAGTGTAGGTGGAGTCAAGTATGCAGGCAATGTCTGACCTGCGCAGCTCGCACTGGATGATGAAGACATTGGCCCTAAAAACCCATGATAGTCTGCCGTACTTCCTGTAAGATAGGCACTAGGCGGTACGAGTAAATCAGCATTGACCCTTTGCTGGTCGCTTGAACCGTTCATGTTTGGCTTGCCAAAAATCAGCTCCAGCTGCTCTCTATACATTCGGACTACGTCCAACTCTCGCACCAAACTCTTTCGCTGTTCAACCATTACCTTTTTCGACCGAGAGTCTATATCCCAGGTGTGTATAGCCATATACCTGTCAAGACGGGAGAGCTGAGCTGAAAGAGACTCATACTGCATTTTAGCTTCGTCCAAGCATTTCAGATGCGGCATTCTTTGGGACGTTCCTGAGAGATACTGTGGTTGTTTGAGTGCTGGGAACTGATTACCGGCAAATTGATATACCTGAGGCGCAAAAGTTGGATAGCCAGGTTCATAACTCATTTGGTCCTGACTGAAAGCTGAGGAAGAACCCGCACTAGCAGCGTTACTGCATGATGCAAAGTCAGAAGATGCTGTTGACACAGCCAAGTGTGGCTGAAATGATGCTGGTAAAGAAGACATAGGACCCTGCATATTCAAGCCTTGGTACATATCCGGGAAGCTTGAGCGCATACCCGAACCAGCACTATACATTGTGGGATCTGGAAATGCCGGCACATATGCCATTTGAGGGTATTGATCAACGCGGGGAAGTTGCTGATTGTTGAACGCAACGGGAAATCCGGAAGGTACAGCATATCCCGGCGCGGGCCACGGAATAATCGGCGGGTATCCTGATCCTTGAGATGCTTGGTCAAATATGCCATTTGCGAGGGATAGCTTTGCAAAGTCCGGGAGAATTCCAGTAGGGCCGACAGAGCTCCTTGATATGTCGCTTCTATTAGAGTTCGACTCCATTGGCCCTACTGAAATATTTCCGGATGCACTTTCGCGTTCGATCCTTAGAAGAGACCCAAGCGCCTCTACCTCGTGATCGGTTGCCTGCTTCTTCTGCACAGGCGAATTTAATTTAGGCACAGGGGTTTGTGGCTCCATAGGGACGATACGACCACCGGCGGTAACGCGCTGGTGTTTAGGGGATGTATGATCCTTCAGAAATCGCGCAAAGCCAGCATCAGTCTGTGCACGACTGGATCGAGGAGGATCTTTTGGCGCGCGAATTGGACACTGTACGCGACTTAGAGAAATTTCAGTCTGGTGTGAAATATTCGACACTGTTCTTGACCGATTGACCGATTGTTCAGTTAAGGCGTTGGTGTTTGTTTGGTTTTGGCGGAGCAAATTATCTGCGTCGCAGATCAATAGTTGAGCATCATTAGCATTAAGCTTGCATGGTTGTTCGATGTAAACAAGTGTACATACAGCCAAGTGCCTGGTCGCTGAATTTATTAAGCTCTATACGCGCGTTTTGGCTCAAAGCCAGTAGAGTTTGGATGTCATACTTCTTCATGATTGCTATTTAGGAAGGGAAAGATGAAGAAGCGTGACTAGACGGAAGACATGTCTCTCTCGTGTACCGCGAGGCAGAAGAGAGATGACACAGGAGAGTTGCCCTGGAAGTGCAGACCCCGAGTTGTTGTTTGTTTCAGAAGGTCCATGGCCTGGCTGCCCGATCGGGAAAGTGCACACAGCTGGGCACTCCGGCTTCGTGACTGATATTTGGCTTTTTGTTTCTACTATAAATAAGCAATATAAAACAGCACTGCTCACAAGCAGTTATAAATATTACAATATCACTAGTTAGATATAACTAAGATAGAATGAATAAATAAGGCCTGAAATTGAAACGAAGGGCGTCCAAGAACAACAGTACATAAGAAAGTGCGAACAATATTCTCCAAAGGCAACACACTACACACTTTCACGGGCTGCGACTGGTTGCATAGCGCTATGGATCTGCCATTCGTCCTCCTCTGGTACATTAAACGGAGATGTGGCTTGCTCATTATTGTTCTTACTCTGTTGTTGACTTTTCATTTCCCAGCTGCCTGTGCGCTCATGCCCTCTCACGACAGTGATACCAGCACCGCTGCCATTAGCCTCTTGGGTATCCGCTGGCTTGATATCCTCCCAAGTGGGATTCTTGAATGTGACATCAGAATCACTTGCCATTTTGCGGTTGCCTTTGAAGCCTCCGAGGCTTGACCGCCGAGTGCGATTCATGCGGAAACCACACACTAGAAATCCGAGGATTGAAATGAGAGCAATCGCTACAAGTGTAACAACTGCCCCAATGACACCACCAACTGCAGGACTCAGGCCCTTATCACTAGTTGGTCGATTCTCATACCCATCAAAGACGCCAGAGCAGAACGTAGCTTGTGAGTTGCAAAGAAGACACCATTCTTTCGTTGATCCCACCGAAACCTTCTCCATTTCTGCTTGAAATTCTGTATAAGGAATAGCTATATTGCTGGGTCCATGTCCAAAGAGTGGATAGGATCGGAAGTCGGGCGAGTGGGTTCCGTTTCGTAGGAGAAATCGGATGTAAAGCTGAGACGGATCGGGGTACGCTGGACTGGAGTTATTCTCCAGACTGTAAAGTTCAAATACCATTGATGCACCGGGCGTAAGACGTCCGTAGAAATTTCCATGCTTTGGCGACGCCAGCTGCATAAGGGATGTAAGAGCGACAGCAGGCTCGTCATTACCAAACAGGAGTGTCATTTTCCCGTTGGCACCTCGATAGTCGATGTTGTTGTTAAAAGCATCCAGAATACTTGAGGCTAAGGTGCGTCCAGCAACAGTGCGGATACGGTCACTGACATTTGTCCCTGCCGAGGGCATATTACCATTCGTTGCAAAAACGTAGCGGTCCGCAAGAGAACGAGCACGGTCTATGTCATCCTGGTTGATGTTATGCAATAATGATTCATTGTGCACAGACTCGTAGTCCAAGTATTCTGAGATCATAACCGCATTCGCATAATTGGCCGAAGAAGGATCCAATACTCCCGACAAAGACAGTGGGTAAATTCTGCTATAAAAGGCTGCTGAATCCTGCTTGATCTCTTCAGCATCTGGACTGTATTCGTACTCGGTATCGGCAACTTGGTGCAGCAGGCAACCTGTATCTCCGTCCAGCTTGATTGATCGCGGGTCCGCCGCATCAAGAGTGATAATTCGGGGATATTGATATCCACCCAAAGGAGCAGTGGCTATTGAGCCATTGGCAAGTTGGAATGAAGGATCGGAGAATGTTGCGTTGAACGACATCTCGAGCGGTGGGTAAAGGCCTTGCATGAAAGCCTGAGCAGACGCAACAACTGACGGATCAGTGGTCGAAAGCACATCCACCTCCTCAGCATCCATTAAATACGGCGATATGTTTTGGATCCTTGTAACTGAAGCGTTATTGCTTTCATGTATTGCAACATAACGGTCCCGGAAAACAGACCCTGCCGCATACAACTGATTCGCCCCATATGGCGTCAAGGCTTTAGGACGAGGTAGGGCTGCTGGAATACTATCTCCATAAAGGTTGTAGGCAACGACTGCCCACACCTTTTCTTCCAGATCTTGGGCAGCGGCCAGGGATGTGTGTAATACTGCCGCCGCAGTGATAACATGGAGATTAAAGATTAACATAGTGGGCACAGGATCATCAAATGGTTCTTCTCATGAAAGGGGTATATCTTATTGGAGGTTTTCATTAATATCATATAAAAGATCCAGAACAGGGCGAGTAAAAGCCCCTAGATGGCGAGAGGAGAAAGGGGTGTATTACAGTTCACTAAGGCCAGGCACATGGAGGAGGAGAGGAATGTATAAGAGCTAGAAACATTGGGATGAAAGCTCTGAGGCCTAGACTCCGGTAACATCCATTTGACTTTGGCAAGTCCATGGGAAATGACGACATAAAGTCATACTTCATTCGTAACTGGCGCCGTGTACCAGTGGGTATTCTTGACAGTGTATACCTCCGGAATGGTGCGATGGTAGCTTCACAAAGCCTCGTCCTGAGTAAACACTCAGCAAAGCGATGTAGCCCACGAGTTTATATAGCTCAGAGCGATTGTTAGACCAATAACAAACAAAAGTATCCAAATACCCGCGATATCAGCAGCTGCAGTTAATTTCCACTGGAGGTCTATATCGATAGGTAAGACACTCGGTTTAGTAGCTGTTGACCTTCAACGGTCGGGTTGGCTTCTTTCCCTTCCCGGAAGGAAGTATCATTCGATGGGTTGTTTTCCATATAAAATATTGCAAAAAGTTAGTCAAGTACCAAGATAGACTCGTTGAGCGTTGATCAATTGCAACTCAAGAGACGATATTTCATTATGGAACGGTAGTCCATCGATGACGTGTAGACTGAGGAAGGTAGCATCCCAACGAAAGCAACCGTGGCGGTCAGGTAAGTACGGTACAGATGAATGGAAGTGTCCTTGGAAATTTGATCCTGCAAATCTAAGTTATGGTATGATCAAAAGAAGAAGTCTTAGATACTATCCAGGGATGTTTCCGTGGCTAGGTATCAGATTGATCAGGTACAGGACGGAGGTACCTCCGCAGCTGAAACAAGTGCCTGAGGCCACATGCATCATACTTGTATGTATTCACCCTAGAACCTGGTAGTTATGAGGACTTTTAAGGATATGCCCAGATTAAAGTAACACATAAATTTTGAACTGCAAGAAACAAGAGACATTCGATCGTGTTTCTCCTTACTAGATTCATTTATTGCCATACATGCTGCCGAGTGGTGTTGCTTCGTGGCTGCCTCAGGCCCCGACGGTCAGCTTTCCGCCCGGCGAAAATTCTGTCACGCCATTTATCCGCCCGTCTCATCCTCTCGCAAGCCCTACGCCTGCGCCCTACCCCTAAGCCCTTATTTCTGCTCTTGGAAGTCAACGTCCTATGCAGACCGACTTGACTGTTCCTAACATGGTGAATTCACAGGCTGTAAGGCCGTCTATTGATGGGAAGGACTCTTCTGAGCTTCCTCCAACTTCTATCCCCCAGGATGAGGATCTTAATGGTAAGTTACGCGCGCTTCCTCCCAGCAACCCTTTGCTCCGTCCGGCCGTTCCTATTAGCAGGGAAGGATGCCCATTATTCTCACTTGAAAGCACTCAAAAGGCTCTCCTACATCATTACATGGAAGTGAAGCCGAACATTGACTCAGTATTTTACAGTCGCCCCGAAAATGTCTCGCCCCCTTGAAGAAGACGACGGTGCCATCTCTCCTCGAGCCTCCAAGAAGCCGCGCCTGAAGTCGGAACCAGGAGACCTCTCACTTCCACCACAACCGCCCACTATCGTGGACCAAGGACCAGGAAATCAGATCGAAGAAGAGCTGGCCTCAGCCCTCGGCCCTAGTATAGTCGACACGGTAGAACGCCATGATGACAAACCTACTACTAGTCACATCGAGACACCCGCCGAAGGCACGGTGGCACCAGAACCCAACCAGGACATTGATACGGACATAGCTACAGTAATTTCAAGCATTATGAACCATGCGGAACGCGTTGAGGAGCAATGCGCTATCGGACAGCAGCAACTAGCCGATACTTCTGGCCAGTCGGCTCCAAAAGGAATGGTGTTTGTCAAAGCAAATTCCCACCTCAAAATTCAAAGCTTGCCCATTCTTGACAACCTGGTAAGCATTGTCTTGGAACTGCACTTCCTCTTTGTATGACTCAAATTATGTTCTAACGTCCGCTCAGTCTACCCAAATTCTATCTCTGCTGGCAAAATCTACCTACCAGGATATCACCTCCTTTGTCTCCGAGCCAGATTCCGAGAATGGACAGGCCTATGCTACCATGCGGTCGCTTTTCGACCACACCAAGAAAGTGTACTCGACCAAAAAGTCTTTCCTGTCTGCTACCGAACTTGAGCTCACAGAGTCTTCTCAAGTTGACATCATCAGGAAGGCCAACCTTGCCTCATTTGTCTCCAGCATCTTTGGAACACAAGAAATTGGGTTTTCCGAGCTGAATGATAACTTCCTCGATGTCTTTGTCCCGGAGGGTGGTCGTTTACTCAAAGTACAAGGGGCTCTCTTCCTAGAGCTGAAAACACAGGCGTTCATTGCCTCAATGAACAACACGGAACGATCACGGACTGAGCTGCTGTACGACTTGTTTCCCGACGACTTAGAGCAGCGTCTACTTGAAAGGCGCCCAGGCACTCGTCAACTTGCCCCGAGCGAAACCGATTTTGTGAATCGCGCCAAGTCGCGCCGTGATATCCTCCTCAACGATGTCAATAACGAAGAAGCGATGAAGGCCTTGCCCGACAAGTATCACTGGGAAGATTTTCTCAGGGATCTTAGCTCCTATGTCACAAAGAATTTTGATACGATCAGTAATCAGCAGGTTTGATGCCCCAGCTGTCCCTTTCAGTCAAGAGTATCTCCAGTACTAATTTGATTCAGTCGAAGAAGATAGCTAAAGGACGCCAGCCATCCTCTTCGAGTGGGGATGCGCAAGAACCAAGCAACGCTCCCCTTCAAGGCCAATTTCCAGTTGCTTCTCAGCCTCCCGACGTTCCTGTCGACAGAAACATGCATGGCGATCTCGTTGCTCGTGCAGCTCGTGCAGCACAGATTGCATTGCAGGGCCATGGGCTGAGACGCTCTCAACAGCAGTCACAGCAACAGCAGCAGCAGCAGCAGCAGCTACAGCAACAGCACCATCACCAACAGCAACCTCAACAGCCCCAACAACAAACCCAGCCGCCGCCGCCCCAGCAGCCTCAACACCCAATTCAACAACAGCAGCAACCCCAGCAGCAACATGTACCTCATCACCCAACCCAGCAAGGTGCGCAAATTTATCATGGATATGCTCCTGCGCAACCAAGTGGCCAGCTTCCACCTCAGCAGAACCCTCATCATCAGCAGTATCAGCCAAGTCCTACGCCACCAGGTTATCAACCACAACCTACGCAGCCTACCTTTCAGCAGGGGCCAATCCAGGCTAATTTCCAACAATACAACCATGGCGCCCCAGTTTCCATGCCTGGAAGGCCAAATTCTGCCGCGGCCAATCATGGCTACATGCCTGGCATACCTCATTATTCGCAATCTCAGCCGACCCAAGTTCTCTACGAGCGGGCTCGTATGGCAGCATCGGCGAAGTCATCCCCCAGCAGCCGCAAGTCGGGCCTACCAAGCCAGCGTAGACCTTGGACAACAGAAGAGGAGAACGCATTGATGGCTGGCCTGGATCGTGTCAAGGGGCCCCACTGGAGTCAGATACTAGCTATGTTTGGTCCAGGAGGTACTATTAGTGAAGCACTAAAAGATCGGAATCAGGTTCAGCTCAAAGACAAGGCGCGCAATCTGAAACTCTTCTTCCTTAAGAGTGGAATCGAAGTTCCCTATTACCTGAAGTTTGTTACTGGTGAATTGAAAACTCGTGCGCCCGCCCAGGCTGCCAAGCGTGAAGCACGAGAGCGGCAAAAGAAGCAAGGAGAAGAAGACAAAGCTCATGTCGAAGGAATTAAAGGAATGATGGCCCTAGCTGGCGCACATCCTCAGCCGGTTGCCTTAGGACACGGTCATGACGGCATGTCGGCGTCTCCCAGTTTACCACCTGATGCCGGTGCTCATGCCGCATTCGATCAAACTGCTGAGCAGAATTTGATGCAGACCCTTGGGCAGGAGGTGCATGGAGATCAGTTCGGACAGCACCAGCATCACCAACATCACCAGCACCAGCATCACCCACACCATCAGGATCCTGTTGATCCAAATATGCATCTTGGGCAGTAGATTGAATCTTCCTGCCCTCGCTTTTCTTCCTCTTTTGCTTGAATCCTTTCTGGACTGGATCTCTCTGTCTCTTTTTTTTTTTTTCTTTCTCCCCTTTCTTTTTCTTGCCCCGGGCAGTTGTTTGTCGCCCGCGTTCTAAGCTTTCAATTGTGTCTGGTTGCTACAAAAAGCCCCTCTGCTTATTTAATGGTTTTATCTGGGTTGAAAGAGTAATGGCGGGTTGGCATTCCATATATGGTTTCGATATGGGACGTTTTGTAACAGTAAATAGGTGCTTCACGAACAGGAGGAGATTATATGGAACAATGAATGTACTTTTATTGCATAACATGAAATGATAACGCGTGAGTTATACGAAATGTCAAGCGTCCGGTCCCATTGTTCGGGGTAAATGGTAGAAGAAGGGTAAATTTATCGGCATTTAATCGCGGAGAGTCCGTCAGTCACGTTGGGCCGCGCACGGGTAAAGAAAGCTAAGCTCTCTCCGCTTGTTCACATCGACGTATCGCCGCGATTCATCGGACCCCGACGTACCCTGTTCCAACTCGCTCACTGCCAAACACGGATAATTTGCTTTTTTACAACCCAATCTCCTGATCGCCTTACCTGGTACTTCCTTTGTTCTCACCATGGCCGACCAAGCGCCATCACAGACCCCTGTCCCACCTTCGTCGCAACCACCACCTTTGTCACAGCCTGGCTCCCAAGAACCCTCAGCGTCATCCGCCTCGGCATCTGGTGAACCAGTAGCTTCATCCGGGGCGACAGCTGTTCCGAACCCTGACCCCGAGGCAGCAGATGGTACTGCCTTGGACGCTTCCATCGACCAAGATATTGATATGAACGCAAGCAACGACACCAAAATGACAAACGCAACCGATGCGGAAGACCCTGCGGTAGGGAACCCAATCCAGACCGCAACATCAGTCGACGCTTTTGCGACGGCAGCAGCACCATCGAAGAAGGAGACGAGTTTGCGCGAGTTCCTGGGCAAAATGGATGAGTATGCGCCTATTGTAAGTTTTTCTCCCCCCCCCCCCTCCTTCCCTTTAGGGAATGATCCTTCTCATTCATTCTATACGATAAAACCCGGGTCATGATCATACAAAAACTAATTTTCGATAGATCCCTGACGCTGTAACAGCTCATTATCTTACCCTTGCCGGCCTACCACCCCCGGGGAATGGTCCCAACCAAACACCCCCACACTTAGCCCGACTTCTCGCTTTGGCGACCCAGAAATTCATTGCTGATATTGCCGCGGACTCTTACCAATACGCACGTATTCGGGCTTCTAACAGCTCCTCCGCCAGCAACCCAATGGGCAGTCTTAACGCCGCGTCGGGTCTCGGCGTGCCCACTGGGGCGTCTGGCGCTGGTGCAGCAGGAGCTGCCGCTGGCGCCTCGGGCGGAGATGCAGGCAAGGGCAAAGCCAATACACATCTAGGAATCCAAAGGCCCGGCTTTGGCGGTGGTGGCTCAGGAGGCTCCGGGCAAGGACGGACAGTGCTCACCATGGAAGATCTGGGAATGGCGGTTGGTGAGTACGGCGTGAGTGTCAAGAGAGGCGAGTTCTACCGATAGAGTTCGGGCGATGGGGTACCACGACGAGAGGCCCCGTGGGCCATTGGCTGGGCAATTTGAGGCGCAAGATGGCAGCATATTCTTGCTTCCGCGTCCTGAGACGACGCGAGCCTGAGACTGTACTCCATGTGTCGACGACTAGTTTGGGAATGGCGATACCCATCTTGGAGATTACGTTCTAGATCGCTGTCGACTGAAGATTGAACGTCGACTTTAATTGGAAGGGGGTGTGCTTACTGGCGTAAATACTGGGCTGGGGACAAACGATATCCTGCATTTGGGCTTCTAAAATTTTACCACGCGAGATTTTGCATAGGCGTTTGGGATGGTGAAGAATCGACGGAGATAATCCAATTTGCACTACTTCATGCCGACAGTGATTGCCTTGCTTTTTTTTTTTCCCTTATGCGTTATAAAGAACCGAAGAATAGACCATAAGATGGACTCAATGATACTGATTGACCTGACTCCACAGTGACAGTAACGGCTAATTTTACATTCAACATATGCGACATAGATATACAAGAATACGAAAAACGCCAATAGAGAATAGTAAATCCTCCCCGCAGACCTCAAGTCAGGCAATTGCCCATCCCCAGAGCACAACCCACACAGCCCAAACAGAACCAACCATCTATTTGTTCTTCGACTGCTTATACGTAAACCTCTTCCGGGTCCTGTAGATGCACACCACCAACAAGTCAGCCATCGACAAAAACGTCCCAACAGCAAAAGAAAAAGAAGAAGGGGAAAAAAAGCCACATACGCGACATATTCACCCAGCTTCCGTCCGACCATCTCCTCAGTGATCAGAACATCCTGGTAATTCTTCCCGTTGTGCACCGAGAACCGCAAGCCCACGAAGTTAGGGAGAATAGTTGCTCCGCGCTTTTGCGTCTTGATCGGGGGTGTGTTCGGAGGGGGAGGGAGCTTCCGGGGGAGAGGGAGACTAGTGGGATTCCAGCCCTGTCAGTTATCGATATCATATATAGGGTCCGAGTGATGTCTATGGGGAGCTTGTTTCGGGATGTTGCTTCGGTTCAAGGTCTATTTGGCGAGGGTTATTGATTGATGGGATGAACGTACGGGACGATGTTTGGGCCTGTTTGCGATGGATTGTGTTAGCGGAGCTGTGTCTGTCTTGGGGCTTGTGATCGCTGTAGGCTTCGGGGGAGGGAAACTCACCTTTCCAGACGGAACGCCCCAGGAGGGCACGGGTGGGAAACATTTTGTTGGCAGCTGCTGGGGTTGGTTTCGCTGTTGCGATAGTTCCGATACAAATTGTTCGGAGCGGCGTTGTATTGGCTTAGTCAGCGCCTTCCAATGTCCCAGGATACTGGAAAGCGAGCTACCTCCGGATTCCAGCTATTGGGCGTTAGATACTGCTCAGGACAGGTTCTGGTTCCGCTGGAGCCTGGAGGGTCTATAATGAGGGAGAAACAAGGCTTGAAAAGTGCAAGCAATTGATGTGTTAGCTAGTGGTTGCGATTGTGTATGGCGCTGGGTTGGGGGAATGTTAAGGCGGGAAGGAGATGGTTTACTTCGATCGTGGAAGGAGATTAGTTATCGCTTTATTCTATTTACTGCTGCTAGAGTCTATCTTTAACATAGAGCGTAGCATCCAGACACTACTTGGCAGTTCACTAATACATTGATAAACAGACGCATGAGTATGATATCCCGTCGCCAGCGACGATTGGATACATGTCCAGATGATAACTTGTACATTTACTCCGTAGCAAGCTCATTGAGGATTGTGACCAGATTTCGTACTCCCTTGAGTGCATTTTCGTCCGGTCCCTGACCGGGTGTCCAGCTGGCGTGCGCAAAATCAATCAGACGGAGATCATGCGCCTTCGGAGGTTCCTCCTCGTCCTCTTCAATATCCGAATCACCCATCTGAATGGTTTCCGGATCGATGCTGATATTAATGGCCTGCTGAGGTTGACCATTTTTCTGAACCGGGAGATCCACCACTTGAACAGAGCCGTCTTGCTGGAGCTGAAGCTCAAAACTCTCGTCGTCTTCATCCTCCTCTGGGTCCTCTTTTGGGTTTTCTTTGACTTTCTTTTCCTCCTCAAGCGCCATCTCCATCGCCTCGGGGTCACCCTCATAGACGATCAAGACACTGGCGGAATACATCCGACTCTCCTCGGATTCGAGAACCTCCTGCAGGTTCTTTAGTTCATCGGCCAGTCTCCTAGCGATAAGCTTCGAGCGGTCAACCGAGCCAGCCTTCGCGCCAGCAAGGAAAGTCTCGAAACCCTCCTTAACATTCTTGTCACTGAATGCACGTCCGTACCACTTATCGTAACGCCGGTAGCCGTCCTTTTCAACGACCTCGCCCTTTACGCCCTCTGAACCCTCATATTTAGTCGCATACGGGTTGGTCTTGCCCCCTTCATCGTTCTCCCCATTAACACCAGTCCACACTTTCATCCCGGCAATTCGGAACCCCAGGCTGGAGCTAGTCGTCTCCTTAGACACACCGTCCAGTTTCGTTCGCTTCGCAAGCGGCGCATCGTCCGCCCACAATCTTGCGCCTAATTTGACGTCCAAGACGTTCGGTCGTTTAAATCCACATGCGACATTCTCCAACACAATTGACAATCCCGTGTCAATCTTCTTTCCACCCGATGGAACCCAATTCTGCTCCACGGCTGCTGCTGCTGCTGCTGCTGCGTTGGGCGCATTTGCGTCTCCATTCGGTTGGGGGGTTGCGACAGCGGTCGATACTTCGGACGAATCGGAGCTAGGAAGAACGATAGCGCCCGGCTGGGCACTGGCGAGCGCAAGCGGCTGTTGTTGTTCATCTGCAGAGGTCAAACTTCCGATGTAGGTCGGAATAAATTCGGCGAAAGCTGGGTGGAGGGCGCAGGACTCGTAGAACGCCACCTCTGCGGGAGTGCAAGGCTTCGCGATGAAAGAGCCGGAGGGGGTACAGCGAACGCCCTCACTATTATAGTTAGTTTCCATATTTGGAAGTCTAAAATGTGCAGTCTGGTATGCGATTTGGAGAACCACATGCGTAACCATCTCTTGCTGCAAGGGTATTCCTGCCTGGTTCGGGAGCAAAGGCGGATAGAGAGGACTTACTGTCCAGCCGCAGCATGGTCAAAAGCGACGAAACTGTCATTGTCCAGCTTTTGAGCCTTGGAGCTATCTGACCTCGACGAGGATGGCATTTTTATGGCAATTTTTGTTAAACAGCAAAAAAGTGATGTTTATGCAGGTAAGATGACAGAATTCTATGGCAATATCCCATAGATCGCGGTACGATCAAACGATGGGATCAAGGATGGACAAGATAAAGGACAGGGGGGTGAAGCAGAATATTAGGTTGGAGAAAATGAAAGGGGAAAGGAGCAGCAGAAAGGACACTAAAGGAGAGACAAACAAGGTAAGCAAGAGGAGGCTGAACGGTGCAATATTAATGATCGGCAAGCAGGGGGGAATTTCGTGCCATCACTCTGGGGAAGTCCCCTTAAACGGACTTAGTCACGGATAAATAAATCTTAAGGTTAAAAACGTGGAACCTCGGAGTCGCTCCAGCACTGACGTCTTTTCCCTTTCCACTCTAGCGCTGCATTCTCCCTGTCAACCATACAGGAACTCAATTGAAACGTAGCCTCAGCGTCCTGCATGTCACATAGAACATCGACATGTCCGTGATTTTCTCTTATTTATTTAAATCTTGATGAATCTCCCTCGAATGGATATTCACATTATGCTATTATGGTTGAGATCTACCTAGACAAACCCCACTTTGCACTACAGGAAACCAGATTTATCCTGAGGAATTGAAACATGGCGTGAAAAGGGAGAAGAGAGTAACGCGACAAACAAAGGAATCATAAAAGAAGGAAAAGAAGAGACTGCTCGGAGGCTGGCAGAAATACACCAAATGGCCAAGCGCCGTCCAGCGAACCAGCTGTTCAAATCAAAACCAGCACAGGATATGGCAAGAAACGATCTTCCAAATTGACCCAAGTCATATCCAGGAAATGTGATTAGACTTGGCCCAAAGATGCTATTCCATTCGCGCAATAGTCGATACCTAATTTTCATCCGTTATTCATTCCAGTAAAGTAAGACTTCCAGTCAAGAAAGCTCCCTATTCTTTCGAGATTGCCACCAAGCTTCCAACACATGGCTTGGAAGGAATGTCTCTCGAATTCTTGAGGTAATCGTGAAAGCTGTATGTTTGAATTCCGTCTCAAGCCACGGTTGCCAATCCCAATCAATCCAACCGGCAAAATCAAGCATGCGAGTTCTGAAGGCTGCATGCCATCGCAGCAAGGGTGAAATGTAAGTGCCTGGGAGGAGATGCGCGTCAATCACAGGACTGTTGAAAGGACTCCCACGGCCGAAGAGTGCATCACCAAAATCAATGCAAACGGCTTTTTCGCGGGTAGAAGTGTTGGTCACCATGACATTTCTCGGTTGGAGATCTGGTAGAACAATATCCCGGGTGTACGCCAAAGTTTCGAACTGGACAATAGCCCTCATGATTTTCTGTCGGTCTCGTCGCGGTACTTCTCGGGGAGAAAGATCCCGCATTGAAGCCCCAGGTATATATTCAATGAGGATGAGACGGACGTCGCGTGTAGTGGATGCGTCAACAGGCACCGCCAAGGAGAATGACCCGTAGTATTGGGGGACCATGGAACCCTGGACGTCTGAGAATTCCATGTATGCAGCTACTTCATGCGTGTAGTGTTTGTCAACACATACGAAAGGGTCCAAAAAGCCGCCGTCATCATCCAGGTACAAAGGGTCATATATCTTCGCCACTACTCGCGTCCCCTTTTCCAAGCCTTTTAATGGCACATCACTAATGACTTCAACGAGAACCAGCTGAGCATTTTGGCCATTGCCAACCTGTAGCATCTTGCAGATTTGTAACTCAATACTAAATGGCCCGTCAGATCCCCGCAGTGGAGGGTGCTTTATGCATCGTTGGACCGGATGAAGCTTCCTTCTTTCCTTCATTCCAGTCTTATCATTCAAGCCGAACGAATCACTCATTGGAGTAGGAGGAGGGGCAATATGTTGTCGCACAGTAAACCTCCATCCGTCGATGTATGGATTTGTCGGCTTCGCTCTTTCTCTTCGAAACAACAACCGATGCATGGCGTTAGGTATATCCTGATTCTTAATCAAACCCACGGAGCATTTCAGGCAGTGATGTAAAGAGGACAAAAGGTTGCCCAACCGTGTGATATGATACTTCGGTCTGGAGAAGGGCTAGGGCCACAAGTGAATTATGTGTTGTTTAGGTATATATTAGCGGCGCAAGAGCTTTCCCCTATTCTAAGTAGAGTGCAATGTACCTGGCAGTAGCGGGCTATCATTGAAACATTAAGTGTCAGCAGGCTCGATATCCATTTCGATAACTTGAAAATTACAATATGCACTAATATCAAAGGATAATTTATAAATTAACAAGTTTAAGAATAATTAGTCTATGCGGTATTCTCCTCTGATCAGTACTTTAGAAGGCTAAGAGCAAGCAAGAAATCGGGTCTAATCTTAAAGCAAGTCTCCCATAGTAACACGTATGAGGGACTTCCATCAAGTCTGTCTAAACTATTCACTCATTCACGCCAATCTTTCAGATTGGATCTGATAAGGCCCAACAGCGGAACGGCCCGAGTACTCTATTGTGACTGGTGGCAATAATCAAGATGGAAGATTTTCGATGTAACCATACTATATGTTATATATATCTCCCAGCTTTCCGTCTCTATGTATTGATTCTAACTGATTACACCAATTTATGTGATTGTACTTATCAGTATCACCTTAAGAGTAACAAGTAAGGGTGAAAGAGCAAGGCTGACTTCGTTGTTGATGATATCCCTGCCCAAGGGCTGATGTGACTTTTGTACTACATGCAAACAGCATGAAAGATGATAAGTACACGAATATAAAACACAAAAATTGCAAACGAGCTGCAGTGTACCGGGTATCTGACTGTTTTTTTGTTAGTGAACAGGCATTCATAGTATTTGATAGGCACACACCATGCCTTGTTTTGGGACCATTCACTCGATCTTTCTTCTTTCATATCTCCCAGTCACCCTTTTTGTTTTCATCTGAGACCAGGTTTCTTTCTCTTCCCCCTTACACTGAATATCTTTTTTCAATGCCAAGAGAACACTAATCTCGCTATGGCTGCTAAGGATACTGAGGCTCTTCAAAGCCTGCCCCTCCGTCCCCTTGAGGACGTCAAGGACTCCCACCAGTCGGTTGTTAGCAGTGATGAAGCTAGCCTGACTGGCCCTCAAGAAGCTATAGACAATGAACCCAACTCTACTCACCAGGCAGTTGTCGAAGCTGGGATACCTACTGTAGCTGATCCTATAGAGGTCACCGACAGCCAAGCCAATCCCTCCCACAACCCACGTCTTGACGATGGAGAAGCAACTGTAACCGATCCCGTCAAGACTGCAGGTAGCGCGACCGTGTTTAAGCTACAGGCAGCTGTTGACAGTGGAGAATCCTTCTTGCTTACTCCTGTCCAGGCTGCAGACGACCAAGCCGACTCTACCTCTCAGCCAATTATGAGCGATGGTGACACTACCTTGACTCAACTTAGCCAGGCTGCAGATGAACAAGCTAAGTTAGCTAACTCTGTGAATCCGTCTGTTGTTGACGAAGAGAAAAATATGGCTACTGTGGATTTAGTTGCGCCTAAGAGAAAGAAGAAGAGAAAGCCTAAGTCTAAAGCTAAGCACGGAAAGGTACTCAAGTACTTCCCCTGTCTACCTAGACTCATCAATTTTTATCTGACTACGTATAGAACAAGCCTACCGGTTTTGAGGAATACTATGTCGATGCACCCATGACTCCAAAGGAGTATGAGGAAGAGAAAAAGCTCTATGACATGTGAGTCAAACGATTCAGCTGTGAGACTGTAACTAACTGGAGATGCCATGGAAAAGATCCAGACCTCTTATCCAGTAAGTTCTCGTTGTGGTCATATGATCTCCAAGTGTTGACCTAGTCCTAGTCGCATCGAGGCCGCCATCCTGCGATACCAGAACAATCGTCGCCTGGAGCCTGAGAGACGCGAGGTCTTCATGAGGTATCTAGCATACGGAGGTGTCGATGTCGGTCCCAAGATGTTCACCGGAGTAGATGAACAAGAGCTCCAGCAACTTGATAGTGAGCAAGCTCTTATTGCTAAAGGGCAGGCGAACATCCGTCAGGCGTGTACGAAGCTTACAGTCGACTTCAACGCTGTTGTGAAGGGGTACCTGTAAGATAACCTAGTTTACAATTAGACATGGTTGATATGGCTAACATCTGGCAGGACCTCGTACTACCCATACTTTTTCAATCCCGAAAGCGAGGACATGGTGAAGCTAGCCACTGTCACAATCCGAAATTTCCTCTCCTATCTCCTCTACCATGAGGTATGCCCCGAGTACAAAGAGAATATCGATGAGGCGCGCAGGTCGTGTGACATCGCAGCCAAAGAACTGTGGCAGAACCAGGAGTTCGCAACCTCCAGCCCCGGAGATTTCAACAAGGCCTGCTCTACTCTCTTCGGTGGCTTCTTCTACGATATGAATGTCGAGGAAAATAATTGGAATAACCGAAAGAACGGAAACTTCCTTATGCGAAACGACGTGGCGCGTAAAGTGGTTAAGTTCGCGATGGCTGGTTCAGGAACAAATGCCATGACCCTTCGATTCCAGACGTTGGCTAGCCAGAATTCATTGCATTCGACGCTTGTGCCAGATATTCACGGCTTCGAGGTGACTGCAGTCTTCCCTCCCACGCTAGAGACTCGTGAATTCTACCGACACCATGCACCTGACCTCAACCCTGTTGGACGAATGGTCGGTAAAGCGTACCGTGATCCTGGAAAGCCTTGCTATGACCTAAGTGCAGAGGAAAGACTGTTATGGGAAACTGGGGCTGCTTCGATGCCTGATTTTCAATTTTTCCTGGAAGAAAGTCTGCTCAAGCTCTGTTATCCCAAGATGAAAGTGATCACGCCAGTGTGGGAACTCAACTCCGGATTTAACTTCTTTGAAGATGTTCATACGGTTTACAGCTCAAGGTATACTGTTCTCTGCAATGATCTTATGCTGGGCTATAGCCAGTCGGTCGACTTGACTGAAAAAGGACAGGACGATGCTGAGATTGAGGAGTCGAACGGCGATGGCGTTGAAAAGAAAGAGGTAACGCTGTAAGCTGGTATTGGTCTTGAGCTTCCGCTGGATCCAAATGGCTCTACATTAAGCGTGTTCATAACGTTCCCTTCTTGGTTGCAGTGTCGATTACAGACCATGCTTCCCCTAATGCGACCCTAAGCTAATGCTGTTATTTCGGTGTTATGGCAGGTTTCTGTTTGCACTAATTCTAACGCATTACACAACTCGAGATAGTGAAGATATCATGATTGGCATAAGTCCTCCATAAGTGTGCAACTCTGTTCACTGTACTGGATATAACGTTTCTCATTACATATATGTCCTGTGCATAAATCATGGCTTGAGAAGAAGTTTTCCGGTGGTCTTCCTGCCTTCTAAATCGGTATGCGCCTGGGCAGCCTGCTCCAGAGGGTAAACCTTGTGAATTTTAACCTTCAGCTGTCCAGACTTGAGGAGGCCGAACAGCTCATTAACGTAAAATTCAAATTCCTCGCGCGTCTCAATGTAGCCGAACAGTTGTGGCCGAGCAACCTTGACACACTTAGGAGATAGTTTTCTGTTCAATCGATTAGGATGAGAGCCTGGTGAACGCAAAACAAATGAACTTACTGGAGAGGCAGAGGGGGCACCGGGCCACTGGCATTACCAAACCAAACGATAGTACCCTTTCTCTTGACGGCCTCCAAGCTTCCTTCCCAGGTATCCTTTCCCACGGAGTCATAAACAACATCCACACCCCGTCCATCAGTCACTTCCTTAACCTTCTTAACCCAATCCTTACCCTCCTCGCTGCGATAATCGATAACCACATCCGCGCCCAGGCTCTTCACCAAGGCAACTTTCTCGGGACCACCTGCCGTTCCAATCACCTTGGCACCGAGGGACTTGAGAACCTGAGTCATGAGGAACCCAGCACCACCAGCTGCCGCATGCAGCAGCACCCAGTCACCCTTCTGCACCGCGTAGGTCTCCTTGGCCAGGGTGATAACCGTCAAGCCGCTCAGGAAAGCAGCTATGGCATCCTCATCGGTGATCTCGTCGGGGATCTTGACGGTCTTGACCGCCGGGACAGCTGTGTATTCGGCATAACCGCCTGTGGTCATCCAAGCGACGCGATCGCCGACCTTAAAATCGTAGGGGTTAGGGCCCGGGCCCAGTGCGACCACCGTGCCGGCGCCTTCACGACCGAGGATTTCGGGTTTGGCAGATGGGTACAGACCCGTCCGGAAGTAGGTATCGATGTAGTTTATACCGGAGATGTTGTTCTTGACGAGCAATTGGCCCTCCTGCGGGGTCGGGACGGGGTGGTCAGATTTGAACTCGAGGACCTCGGGGCCGCCGAGTTTCTCGACGATGACGGCCTTCATGGTCGATGGGACGGACATGGCGCGGGCTTGATAGGAAAATGGGGAGACGGGTGATGGACGGAGTTGAGCACGGATAGCAGAGAGACGGGCAATACTTGGTGAAGTAGCCCTCGTGGCAGTTGTACGAAGGGAAGTAAGACGAGTTGCGAAGAAGCGGTTAAGATACATTCGAGGAGGGGCTTCCGGATAATAATTTAACAAATAGCACCAGGTGGGTAACTGGATACTTTGGTTTACGTACGAGCACGAAAAGTGTCTTGTTGCAATTCGTTAGCATTTCATCCATCGCTCCTGTTGTTGATTTGTCATCCCGACTGCTATCTCGTCGTTTGAATGTCCTTCATCCCTCCTCCATGACTTTCTCTTCCCCGCAGTTTCCATATCGCGGCTCTATGCCGTTGTTTATAGAGATCTCAGGAAACTACAATCTCGCTCTATTATCTCAGCAGTGCTGATACCATTAATTGGTAGTAAGCTGTATCATACTCCTTGCAATATTTTCTTCCAACTTTTGGTGATCCTCTTGTTATGACTGGAGTCGAAGTGATCTTCCGTCGGGAATGACGCCATCGGAAGAGCGCCGTCGGCTTTTTACTCCCGGACTGCCAGTAGTTTCTTCCCGTTTTGATCTCCGACGGATCAACTCCGATCATGGGATTTGTGCACGGTCTGCCATAATCTTATTAGTCAGTTGTAATGCACGATTACACTTTATGCAGTAGCACATGATGCCCGAGGAAACGAGATCGTCTCTACGATCTCATCACAGCCCAACTGTAGCATCGTCTACCATTGTGTTATTCCCATCATCGATGGTCGATCCATTATGAATTGTGTAACTTTTTTCCAGAGTCCCCAATGACTCCGCGGTCATCTGCACTTGCTTCAAGCCAACTCAGCGCCGGCAATTGCCTACAACAGTCGGAATGGCATCATAGTCTTCCATGACAACAACGGCGGAATGCCGTCATGGACCCTATAATTTGACTAACATAGACCGCAGTAGGCGACTTGTCCCGGGCAATGAGGCCCAACAAGGACCAATGGTCGAAATCAATGATGAAAGAGGCTGAGGCGCTTCACGCAACCGCCTCACCTCGCCTTTCTACGCGTATGAGCAGGCTGGAGCCAACTGTCTCCCCCACAATCTGGCGGCCGTCCTGCAACCTTTACCCACATTCTTTTTTCCTTTAAACTTTTCACGAGAGCTATTGGTCGATCCGCTGGGGATTCAGCTGGTATCTAACGAAAATTGGCTGATCTGGCGCCTTTGCATCGCCATGGATGCCTTCGTCCCACACTTACTCACATATAGGTGCAGCAAGGACGTCTATCATATTGGTCTCGACCAAAGACTGTAGCTTTCTGGCTTCGGTGCCTGTTGGTTTGGCCTGCAGAGAGCCAAACAGCTTCGTCTGGCCACGACCGCCGTGTTTCATACCCCAATGGCCTGATTCGTCGCCTTTCCGCCCAATGCTTAGGCTGATGCCCTGATAGGGCCATCATATCCAGAGGCGCTGCCCGACCAGCTTCTCATTGGGATTTATATACACTGTCATATTTTCCCCTTTTTGCTTGTTTTATATTTTCTGATAGACTAAAACACTCCCCAATACCCCGCTAATTAATATTAATAATTCCAAAGGACTCAAAAAACGCATTTCCGGTCAATTCTTTTCACACTGCCTTCACCAGTTGCGGCCCAATCTGTCTCACCCAGATCCAACCCGTGCTTATATACCGTGTTCTCTTCGTAACTCCAAGTGAGTTCGTCACGACGAACATAACATGCCAGCTTCCAGGAAAGAGTTTCTAATCCACCGCACCGCTGCAACAGGATAGCCCTTGGCTGCACCAAGCAACTGTACAATATTCCCCTTCGTCTTGGATTGTCGACATCGTGCCTGCCGGAGTTTTGCTTTTTTTTTTTTAGTTTCTTGTCTTGCGTTTTTGGTTATTTCCCTGTGATCAACCATGTTTTTCTGGAACAAGCGGCCCCGGTGGCCACCTTCGCCTTCGGTGGAAGACGAGTTTGAATCGCTCTCCCGGGAGCTACACGGATTGGCCAAGATTGGAGACAAGCCGGGAATTGAAGGAGTCTGCGCCAGAGGATCTATTGATCAATACCCGGTGATCATTGAAACGTTCTCACTCACGTCCATCGTTCAGACCGATACCTTGGGAGATTATGGCCACGGGAGCACCTCTTCTGTTAATAGTTCCGGACCACCAACACCACCTTCGGAATCCAAACAGCCCTGCCTGTTCGATGCAGGTAATGCCACACAGCAAGGACCTCAGCTCAGGCCAGCGCCTTTGGCGACACCACCTATGTCTCGAGACACATCCCCTCGAGGCCAGCCACGTGCACCGGTCCCTCAACCAGTACAGAGCAGTAGGCCCACGACTGGCCATCAGTCATTACCTTCTCAACCCGTGAACTCTAGCCCCCAAAGCGCCAAGGCACAAAAGGACAGCCCCCCAGCATTACACAAGGCAACTTCCAACCCAACCCCACTGAAACCTTCAAAGCCGTCTACCCTTGTGCGAACCTCTTCATTGCCAAACAAGCCTGCTTCCACCATTCCAAAGAGGCCCGTGTCTGGCCATCCTACGGACCCGCCGGGAACCAAAGTCCAGCAGCCTCCTCGGGCTGCCCCAAGCCCAGTCAAGGCCACAAAGCCACCTCTCCCAATGCGTACATCTTCCTTGGCAAACAAGTCTGCTGTATCTGGTTCAAAGCCGCCAGGGAGCATCAAGCCTGACCGACCCACAGGAGTTAAGGTCCAGCACCCTCTTCCAGTCAACTCAATCCCACAGCAAACTGTCAAACGGTCTTCTCCAGTGCCTGCATCGTCGTTGCCAAGCAAGTCTGCTGCCATCACGAAGGAGTCGCGGGCTGTCAAACCTGACCAGCCTGCGAGGCAGTCAGCCGCTAATGTCAAGCAGCCTCTCCCGGCCAGCCCAGGGCCTCGGAAGGCCACGAAACCGGTGCCTCAGGTGCACACTGCTCCCCTTCCAAACAAGCCTGTTACCTCTTCTGTCCCAAAGCGGCCGGCGAGCATCAATACTAGTGCCCTGCAACCTAACTCAGCTGCACTTAAGGCAAAAGATCATGGTAACAAGCCAGGACCAAACCCGGAGCCTAAAGGAAGTGAAGCCCCTTCCACAGCATCCCCGAGAACATTAAGCCTGGCGGAGAGGTTGGAAGAGAAACTGAGGCGCAAACATGAACAGAGAGAGTCCAGTGGTTTCCCAGATGCACAGAAGACAAACCCACCTACCCCGGTCTCTGTTCCAAAGCCCAGTGGTCCAGTTATTGCCAAAAGTAATCCACCTACTACGCAGGAGCCAGCTAACCAGGCGCCCCGTTCGCAACTTGCACGCAAAGTGGCAACGATTGACCCACCATCAGTCAAGAAAGGTCCACGCCCAACCTCTCTCGTCGAAGCGCGGGTGCCAAAGTTGGTGCCGTCACCTGAGACACAGTCTGCCCCCATCCTCCCCAAACGAACTGTTTCATTTCAAACTGGGGGCCTAAAGCCCGCTTCTTTGAAAAGTTTGGAAGATACCCTCGAGCAGCTACAGTCTCTACAGGTTAGCCTCCCACAACCCGTTCGCCCCCCATCTCCGAGCAGGTCTGGCCAGTGTCTGTTGCCCTGCCCTAGGTCTGTCCCAGTGGCAGGATACCAGGACTGGTACACAATCAAAGGCATGACTCACTTGAACATCTGCCCTTCATGCGTGAATCAGATGCGCAAGTCGAAGTTCCGCGACCTCTTGATCTTAGGAACCCCCCGGCCACGCTCGGAGAAGGTCCGTTGTGCGATGAGCGAGCCATGGGCCCGGCTCGCCTGGATGCAATCCATACAGAAACAACTCGACCATCTGCACTTGCTCTGCCAGATCACCCAGCCACCTCTAGGAACCAAGCCATGCACAGGGCGTGTTGTCAGCGAGCAGCACTGGTACCGCGTGGTCGACCCTGCCACGGGAGCGTTTCTTCCAAAGTTCAACGTCTGCTCCGCATGTGTCCGGAATCTAAGAATCCTCATGCCCCCGCACCAAGATACATTCAAGCTTTGCACCGCTCTGCAAGAGCGAGTCTGCGATTTTGTGACGGATAGCCCCCGCTTCATCCGGTACATTGACCTTCTCGACATTGCTGCGAACCGTGCCGAACAAGAGCACTCACCCCAGCCCGACCTGCGTGAATTCATGGCCTACGCTCGCCGAAAGGTTGTGCTCCGGGACTGCCGCCGTAACCGGGTAGCGCTTAATACGTGGCACTACATGCCCCAACTCCCGGAGTTCACGGTATGCGAGGACTGCTATGATGACATAGTGTGGCCCATGGTCAAGGCCAACTATCCCATCGCCCGTAAATTCTCCACCATGATGCGGCTGCCCCCGGGTGAAGGGCTGGCTCGCTGCCGGGAGGCAAGCTGCCAGCTCTACTCTCCTCGCATGCGGCTGCAATTCCGGGAGGCTGTGGAGGAAAACGACCTGGCCTATCTGAACATGATTGCCCTGCAACGGTATGAGGCCGAGCAGCGGTATCGGAAACACAGGGGCCAGTTACTGGAAGACGAGGAACGGGGATACGACTGCGATATGGAGCTCAGGAGAAACCTAGAAGAGTGGAAGAGATGGGAATGAGTCGCGGGCGATCTCTCTCCCTTGTTCAACAACCTGTTCATTCAGTTGCTTGCTTGCTTGTTTGTTTTATCTGCCAAAAGTGTACTCTTCCAAAAAAAAAACAAAGGCAGTCAGGTGTATTCTACAAAAAGATATGTACAACAAAACAGAAAATATATACCATAACCAAACAGAAACGCTTCAAAGAACCCCAAACAAAACACCAAACAAACAAAGCCATCATCACGTCCCGAAACGCC